ATGGGTGCTATGTACTGTGCGAAAGCAATCGATTTTGCAGGCATAAACTTTTGTACATCCCTCTTCTAAGAATTCCAATTGAATAGCCAGCTCAGGGCAATATGATACTATAAACACCAGCACATATCAGTCTCTGGTGTTTATAGCTTCAGAGCAAACAAAACACATCATTCATAACAGTAACAGCTCGCAATAGCCACAGGAACGTTGCTGCAAGACAGGCATATGTAACGACGACTTAGCGCTCTTAAACGCGTGTGTCATTAAATACAGTCCTCCTGACAACAGGCCAGTGAAAAATCTAACAATCTACAGCAAAACCATCAATTATTATGGGCGTTATAACATACGTGTGCAGCTGGACGAAACATACACGTCGAACCCCCCCAGACGATTTAAATCCCTGACGAAACATACACGACGAACCACGGCAACGGGTTAAGGACACCAAACATGCAGCTAGGGTTTTCATTTTAACAACCCCTGTATAACGAAAGCTGAAAGACTATGCCTTTGTCTAATACCTTCATTTATTCACATTATTTTATCATTTCTTCCCTTTCTTATCACATATCATTTCAAGAACTTTTAAATTCGTCATATTTTAATTTTTGGAGGGGCAAGTTTATTATTTTATCAGGGTTCCTTATGAACACAGTATGGTCATGCATTAACATTATTCAACCCTGTGGTTTGTATCTCCCTCCACAATTAAAACTCTCCTGCATTTGTCCCATACATCACAATGGCAAATCCATGTGGCTTCATTTGCATCTCAGCTAGCTGTATTCACAGATGTGTCCACAACCAGTAGGACACTGCTTATTGACTTCCCACCATTCCTGCAAGTGGGCAAGATGGCCTCCATGAGAACAGCCCTGACACCAGGCATACAAACCTCGTACCACTTGATGACACACACTGCACAGAGCACACTCAGAACTGTGACAACGGTCACAGAGCCACCCTGTTCGTTGCAGAAGCTTACTACATTGTCCACAACTTGTGTGTACTGTTGTGGACTGTTGGTTTAGCTGCATTACACTCGGAATCCATGCAAGCTGAATCACCTGGCCAGCAAAGAGAGCTAATTGTTATTATAAACAGAGAAGGATACATTCATTTTACAAATCATTTTCACACCATAACACTTTATGAAGAATTTTTAGCTATTTCATTTTACACATATTCCTTGAATATATGTGAGGGGATAACTCTCATCTAAACTGAGGCCTGAAGCTAGAGCTCTTTGCTGTCTGTATCATACATCATAATGATGACCTCTAGCTTAATTGAAGTTTAAGAGATGTACAGATACCCTTTGTGACTCCAATGATAAAGGAATTCAAAGTTATGAATTTCATAATATATCAGGTGTTCTTACACTGTAGCCAGTCTTTAGATTTGTGTATATACCTAAGAAGCAACCATATAGTAAGGTTACACTGCTTAACTGAATGTAACTGGATGTAAAAGGAGGGTGAATCTCTTGGAAAGGAGGTATGGGACCATGAACATATTTTAGGAACTATAGATGTAAAGCGAATCATCCTCTGGCTTTGGCATGTGACATAAGTGAAGAATCTGCAGTCTTATTTAAGGTCACAGAGAAAAGGCAATGCTGTGAAGAATTTCTGTCTTCATGAATATAACAATAATGATGAAGAAGATAATGATGATAAAAATGGTACCACAGAACTTCTCTAAAACATGTACATAATACTCCAAATTATCCATATGAAGATCATTTCGATGATGAATAATGTATGCACATGTATTCTTTTAATATCCTCTACTTGCTTATGAGACTTGTTCAAATAAAACCCATTCAGAAGCTGTTCTGGGCAAGGGAGTACAGCCATTAGAAATAGTCCACATAGGTGTTGAGGCAGGCATCCCACTGATGGGTCCCCTCCACAAAGAACTCTGTGGGCTACTCCTTGAACTACAGCACCACTGCAGCCATGACATCTTAATTCTAGCCTACAGTGCTTTCTTGGACAAGGCAAACACATCATAGTGCTTATGGACAAGATGCTTCTTAAATATAAATACACATGTCCTTAAAAAACAATAAATGTAACAATAATACAAGTTTACTAGCATATATAATAAAAATCCTCCCACAGTTAATCAGAGTATTCAAAATAGATAGTTTCATCGAGAAGTTGTTTGATAATATTCATCAATACTATAGAATGCATGTTCTATACGATAAGTTCTTAATAAGGATTTCAAATGCTATATATCTTTAGATTGCATTTTAATATATAATGGTAAGTGGTTATAAATCTTACTTCCAGAAAAAGTACTCCTTTCTGTACTAATGTTAAATTTGTGGATGGTAAATGTAAATTATAGTTTTAATGTGTAATGATATCATGAATATCAAAAGTAGATATAAAGTAACTTTTATTCTTAATGTTATATTTTAGCGTCCTGTTACACTGATTCATGTCCATGGTTTATGCTAATCGTCTTACAGTGTATACACTTTTTCACCTTATTCTTCACTTCCACACTACATGTGTCAGCACTAATGTGCCATCCTCAGGTGTCCTTATGCATGTTAAACTATTGTACTGCATGCCATGAAGTCTTCATTCTAAGATGACTAAAATCTGGATTCATCATATATGTCGATGAATTCTAAATAATAAAACTTTTCAGGATTCATCCTACGTCGCACTCAAACATGCAAATTACGCCAATCCTCTTTTATGTGAGCATTCTTCCTACATATATTTGTGTATCGTGTTCTGGGTTGTGTTTTGCTCCTGTTACTGCATGCGTTGTACTGCTGGATATGTGTGTGTGTGTGTGTGTGTGTGTGTGTGCTGTCTTATTCTTAATGACAGAAACAAGAAGAAAATATACTGAGACTGAATTGGCAATATTTGCAGTTTTTGAACAATTCCCAGCACAAATCATATCTACCCAAACTGGTAATAACTCTTATAATTCTTTTTTGAATTTTAAAGATGCTCTCATTGGGATGGTCCAGAAAAGACTTTCTGTTTGTTTTGTTCTGTTACATTTTTTAAAATCATTTTTCCCCTAAAGTAGGCTTGAGAAATATTCTTCTCTTTAATCCTCACACATTTTTTCTGCCAATTCCCTCCATAATTTCCCTTACTTTAACCATTTTATTTGACTACACTTTAAGTCGCTCAGGTTACCTACTGTTGAGTGGCAGAATTATTAATGAATAATGAATTTAAAATGACAAGAAAGAAATTGGCTATTGGTTAGGCCGTGCCATAGCTCAAGCAGTTAGTCGCAGGCTTCCCACTGCGGTGGCCCGGGTTTGATCCCGGGTCTTGTCAAGTGGGATTTGAGGTGGACAAAATGGCGCTGGGGCAGGTTATCTCCGAGTACTTCGGTTTCCCCTACCAATCTTCATTCCACCAAATTCTCCATCATCATAATCAACCGAGGGCATGTACACTAGGCCAATCAGTGGCTGCCGTGCCGAGTGAACTCCACCACCCACTAAGTGAAATCCCCTCAGCTGCCTGGAAATACTAAGAAAACCTTTGGTCAGGATACCTTCCATGCTATTTAACTTCTTAGCTTCTTCCTATAAAACTTCTGTCTTTCTTGTTTGTTTACCATTAGTCTCTCCTTAACTTTTGCCAACGCCAGATGGTGGGTTAATATCACAGTTGGTTACTCTAAGAGACTGGACATCAAGTATAACTGAATGCTTTCTTCTATCTACCAATGTATGATCAATCTGTGTGTGTATGTGTGTGTGTGTTCCCATCTGGAGACGTCTGAAAGCATTTATGAACGTTATGATGCCAGATAATTATACTCTTGACAATTATGTCCTTTTTTCTGATGCAGCAGAGTTTACTACTTTAACATTACTATCATTAGACTGTTCATCTAAACTTGTTCCCAAGTGCAGTACAAGAATATAATCTCTCTTACTTATGCAATGAAATCTGTTAACAAAACTCTGATATGGTAATGAGGGAAGGAACACACTCACTAGTTATTTATGTAAGATGTCCTTTGTATCATCAAGTTGATCCCTGAGGCGTGTACATTCAGATTAATAACGTCACACCAATGATCTACTCTATCACTACCCTATCACTAATAAGTCTACTCTCTTATCTGCTGATATGATTCTTTTATGTATGAAAAAGCCTGTCCTTAAGTAATCACCATGGCATTGTTAAAAGGCAACCACTTAACATAAGAGTCCAAAGTACAAAGATTAAAAGCTGTGGGGATTAAATACATTGTAAGAAACACAGTACAAAACTGGTTCATAATATACTTACCTGTGTACCCACTTCCCACAGTTGATACCTCGCCAGTGTATCCAGATACCCTAACAGCCAATGTTCCTGAGTGGCTTCATCTAACATTGTGAGACTCCGCCGCCGGTCTCCAAGTGCTAACAAAACAGACGTTGAAGTCTGAACATCCCCCAAAGACGCATGATGTTTCAACATTTCCACCATGATATGACTTGGATCCCACAGTCCAAGTCGGGGTATTGCTGTTACACTTAGAAGGGAAGATGGCTGGTCTTCAGTAGTTACAGGCTGAGAATCTGGAGTGTGAATCAGACCAGATATTTAATTACATATTTTTTGGAATAACAGAATTTAAGGTTCTCTTCACTGTGACAAAATTCTGCTACTATACCCTGTCACAAGTCAACTCAATCTAATCCACATTACACTCCTGAGGTTTCCAGTCCCAACATGTAAAAGTCTGTTGTCTGATGAAACAAATGATTCACCTTGTAAGAACATCCTAGTATAATGCATAACACATGGTACATTAAATAGTTTGTAACTGATAGTATCTGTTACATATCGAGATTACAGCTTGCATGCTGGACATGAAATCTTACAATGAGTACAGAGCTAATTTTGAATGTGAGACAACTCTTTAATCTAAGAACAACTAAACTGGTTGAAAGTCATATTAAACTGGATACTATAATTTAAAAGATTTCAACAATTTTCTACCTGTTTCTACAACTTAAGCAGCAGAGTGAATTCATTTAAAATGGCTGCTTCCATATAAAATTTAGAGAAATACAGATTGTTCAGTGATTTTCTGTCAATACTTCATAATCTGAGGTCATTCTGAGTCAGATATTTCATATGAACATGGGTTTGATTCTGAACTATTACAGAACTATGAGTGTTTCCTATTGTACGAGGGTCATACTGAAAGTCATGAGCAACAATTTTTTGTAAAGTAACATGCTTTATTATCGACAAACCAAATACACCACCTCAATCTACAGACCTTTCTTTATTTTTCCACATATTTGCCACTTCTTCGTACACATTTCTCCCAGCGTTCTGGGAGTTTGAAAATTCCCCTTCTGTAAAATTCCATTCCAGCCATTCGAAGACTCTGACGCACTGCTTTCTGAATTGCCTCCCTTGTCTCAAAACGTCCACGCAGCTGATCCTTCACAAATCCAAAAAGATGGTAGTCGGAGGGTGCCAGATCAGGGCTATAGGAGAGGTGTGGAAGAACTTCCCACCCCATCTTTGCAATTGCTTCCAATGTGAGGTGAGTGGTGTGGGGGTGAGCGTTGTCATGCAGGATGATGATGCTTCATCCCAGACGTTTATTGTGCAAAGCACGACGGAGCTTGTGCAGCATCTGGACATAACGAGCAGCATTGATGGTTTGCCCAGGTTCCAGGAATTTGGCCAGAATAAACCCCTCTGCATCCCAGAAGACTGTCTGTGCCCATCACCTTCACAGCTGATGACACTGTCTTTGCCTACTTTTTTGATGGAGAATGCAAATGGTGCCATTCCATACTCTGCCGTTTCATTTCAGGCTTGAAATGGTGAAACCAGCTTTTGTCACCTGTCACAATACAGAGCAAAAAATCATCACTTTCATGTCGATATCTCTGCAGCAGTTCTGAGGTGATGGCTTTTCACTGACCTTTGTGGCCTTCGGTCAATAACCACCGGACCCAACAAGCACAAACTTTCCTACAGCCCAAGCTTTCAATCATCTCCTGTACTGCACCGTGCCCTATTCCAAGTTTTCGGGATATTGTGTCCACAGTCACATGCCTGTCATCTTGAATGATCCATCCACTCTTTCCTTGTTGCGTTCAGTTGAGGCTGATAGAGGACAACCGCTCCGAGGATCATCATCTTCAATGCTGGTGCTCCCAAAATGTTTCACCCATCTCCGAACACTGCTCACACCCATGCACACACTTCCATAAGCATGCTGAAGTCTCTGGTGAATTTCTGCAGCAGAGATTTCCTCTTTCACAAGAAATTCGATGACAGCACGCTGGAAAAACAACATATCGTCGGCCATTTTGTTAGGAGTGATACTGGTCATGTGATGCAAGCTACTGACGTCACAACACACTCAAGGTTAACACAACAGCTAGTTCCTCCTACCACTGTACTCTCTTTCGTCTGCTGTTCCCAGGTTGCATGCAAAAAAAAGTTGCTCATGACTTTCGGTACGACCTACATAGTTCCAGTGTACATGCATGAGCAATCAGGCATGGACATGTTCAAATGGAAACCTGCTCACTTGTAGAGCTCCAGCAAACATAAGAGTGCAACAAGGCTGTGCATGTGCCTTGTATCAGACTATTATTTCATTCCTAAATATAACTGTGAAAAAGATGTTTATATTTTCAAATGAAGAATATGTGGATAAGCACACTATATGGATTTTGCAATAGGAATGTGAATGTTGCAGCTAAAGAACACCAGTGACAACTTTCACATTGAAAAATGAAAGACTGACATGTTTATTACTGTTCATCAGCAATATGTGAAAGTTTGTCATCTGCCAAATGTGACAGAGGAATAAAACATTCAAACAGCACATCACAGTCCATATGTTAGCACTCAAAGAATTGGCACCCACCTCCATGTCCTTGTGTATGAGAGTATGGCAGACATTATACCGTAACTGTATCAGTATCATACCCAGTAAATTCAGCATCTTGCACCTGGGGACAAGGCTATGCACATGGACTTCTGCCATGGGTTTGATGCACACCATACTTGGAAATGCCACATTTTATTCATTGATGAAGCACAGTTTGGCCATAATGTAATCAGTATCAGAAATTCCCATTTGCGCAGAATCACAAAAATCCTTAAGGCACAGTAGTAGTTAGTTATTTAGAGAGGGTGGGTTTCCCCATGCACCGCGACCAGTTTGATCTATTGTGCTTCCCTCTATGATAGTCTACCAGTCTCTTTACCCTATCGATAAATGGTGCGTACCATCAGTCCCGCCGAGCAAGCAAGTTCGGCCACTTGCTTAGCGGTGTCTATAATGCTTCCCCCATCTATCGGAGGCCTTAGAGGCTATTGTTGGGCGGGAAACATCCTGGAATTTGGCTCAGTGATCTCCTTTGGGGATATTAGGTTCTTTTACGTGCTGTAAAGTTATGACACGGGACACACAGCTTAAAGTCCCTCACAGAGGACTTGTTCCCTGTTTTTTCCGCCTTTAAAAATTCGACGACCTCCGCCGGGCATTTGAACCTGCATACCACGAGTCATGAGGTGGGAACGTTACCTTTAGACTACGGAGGCCGCTAAGGCACAGTAGTAATTTCCAACATAATTTTTCTGTCACTGTGTGGCATGGTATCAGTGAACACCTTACTGGGCCATATGTCTTACAGAAACAACTAAGAGGTGACACCCAAACTTTTTGTGAAATAAACAACCAGCCCTCCTAGAGGACATTTCTCTGCAAAGATGATTACAGATGTACATCCAGCATAACACAGTACCACTACAGTTCAGTACACACAACACAGTACCTGACTGAGCACTTTGCTGACTGATGGATTGGATGTGGTTGTCTGCAGAATTGGCCACTCTGGTCACAGGACTTCAATTCACTAGATTTGCATGAAAAATATGATACATGAATGTAAAGCAAAGAGAAAAAAGACCTACTTCATCAAATTTTCAGTGCTGCAAGATACATGATGACCGTGATGTTCTACACAAAGTTATATGTTCCAAAGTCAAAAGAGGCAGAATGTGTATCCAAACTGACTATGGCTATTTTAAACATGTATTAAACCAAACTGTATATTATCATTTCTAAAATAAAGCTCAATTATGTCTGCTTCCTGAATTCGAAATACCCACGACTCCACATCCATTGAGAATCAACCCATGTTCATATGACATTCCTGGCTGGAAATGGCATCAGGAATAAGATCCTCAAGTGCTGACATATAATCAGCAGACGCCTTGTACTGTCATTTTAAATATTTAATACAACATAGTGAAACACTGTAATTTAAATTAATTGGTCTATTGAAATAAAGATACACTACAAGAAGAAGGAAGCAATGAAGGGCTAAAATGGAATTCCATTTCAAGAAAATAATTTATATTATCAGTGAAGTTCTTTAGGATTACATTTCACTATGTATATTGAAACTTACCATGATCATTTAGATCTGGTGATCCATGATTTGGAAACTGTTCTGGTGGTGGTGACCGATCCTGGATCTCATGCCTCAAGGGAAACGCTTCACTTGGAAGTGTCCAGTCCTGCTGTGTCTGAGCATCCAGCAACATGTGTGATCCACCAAGCAATCCATTACTGAGACTCATACCCATCATTCCATTATTCATTCGGTCAAAATCTACACTTAATGGATCCATTTCTCCATCACCAAAGAAAAAGTCTCCCTGAGGGATAGGCAGATTCCCCAAACCCATCCTCCCATTGATATGTTGCTCTGGAGTTTCATCTGTTTCAGTTTCGTCTTCCCCTGCACTCATTGCACCCCTTGGTGTCTCTCCACCACCGCCCAGTAATGAACGCTGATCACCATCTCCACCTGCACCAGTAATGATGGGCTCTAGCCCTGTACTGGTTCCTAATGTTGTCTGGAGCACACCCAAACCTGTCTCCTCTCTTGATACATTCCCAGATGGTATCTGTTGCCCAAAGTCACCCACCTTGCTACTGTACAATGTCTTCACAACACTCCATACCAGACTCACCTGCAGAAAGTACAGAAAGGTGAATATTAACCTTTAACAGCCGAATGTTTTATATATATACCGGATGTTCCTAAAAGAATGGTGGGGTTTCATTGTCGTATATCTCTGTCAGTTTTTGGTGATGAAAAGCAAAACGTATACGGACTCATAACGCGATTTCAAATTTTCATTTTGTATATGGCGCTCTTTCCTAGTTCCATTTCCGACAGTTAGGAGGCATGAAATGTAAGATGGCGACCCAGCAGGAGAAGGCCTATTGCGTGCTGAGATTTGAGGTGTCTAAATCCATCGTTACAGTGTGCCGTGAATTTCGTGTATGTTTTCAGAAGGAGGCGCTGCATGAAAACAACATTCGCAGATGGTACCAGCAGTTTGTAGACAGTGGATGTCTCCATAAAGGCAAGAGTTCTGGGCGGCCACGTGTGCCACATGCAGACATGGAAAGAGTGAGGGAGACGTATCAGAGAAGCCCAAGAAAATCATTACAACTGGCCAATGATTCCAATGACTACATTTTCCAACAGGACGGTGCTCCCCCACATTTCCATAGCATTGTGAGAGGTTTTCTTAATCTGGTCCTTCTGCAACAATGGATTGGACGTGTTGCAGGTAAAAATGCCCCCCTTCTCCAGTGGCCACCCCGATCCCCGGACATAACTCCATGTGATTTCTTTTTGTGAGGGTACGTGAAGGACATGGTTTATGTACCCCCACTGCCCCAATCGCTCCAGGATCTCCGAAACAGAATAAATCATGCTGTGGAGACCATCACACCTGAAATGCTGCAGCGGGTGTGGCAGGAATTTGACTCTTGCATTGATGTGTGCAGGGTAACAAAAGGTGCGCACATAGAGGCACTTTGATGGATGTACATAAAATTTGGACAGTTAAGCTTCGGATTGACACGTTATGATTGTACACGGTAAGAAATACTAAATATATACGTATCTAAAACCCCACCATTCTTTTAGGAACATCCTGTATGTGACGCAAGCAACACCCCGAGTTGGCCGAATGTTATATATATGACGCAGGACACGTGCACTCTTTGGGAGTGCTGACAGTTTGACCTTGGGTTTGAAACCAAAACAAACCTACGTAAGGTCATGTCAGTGGTTCATTCCTTAGNCCAGGATCTCCAAAACAGAATAAATCATGCTGTGGAGACCATCACACCTGAAATGCTGCAGCGGGTGTGGCAGGAATTTGACTCTTGCATTGATGTGTGCAGGGTAACAAAAGGTGCGCACATAGAGGCACTTTGATGGATGTACATAAAATTTGGACAGTTAAGCTTCGGATTGACACGTTATGATTGTACACGGTAAGAAATACTAAATATATACGTATCTAAAACCCCACCATTCTTTTAGGAACATCCTGTATGTGACGCAAGCAACACCCCGAGTTGGCCGAATGTTATATTATATATATATATATATATATATATATATATATAACTCTTTGGGAGTGCTGACAGTTTGACCTTGGGTTTGAAACCAAAACAAACCTACGTAAGGTCATGTCAGTGGTTCATTCCTTAGCTCTGAACAATGAAATCGTTTATCACGGTACTGGCTTCGATACTATTATGTTTAGATATGACTGTTTATGACCTGGTCAGCCAAATATAGCCCAGCTTTGTTTCAAGAACTGATGAGGAAATATTTATCGGTGCTTGAATGAGTGCTTTCAGAGCCTTCAAGGAAGTGTCAGATTTTCTAATATTTCTTTACCAGTTAAAAAGTCAGTGTCAGACTGTAATATATTTCTTTGTACATTATCTTTATTTTGTGTCTTGGCAGAGGTATAAACCCACTGAGCCAGTATTACTTTGTGAGTAAAAGGCATCTTTGCCACTGCGACTTTCGGTATCAGTGTCGGACTGGCACTCTTTTCGAGTAGTATTATAATTACTTTGCATCACTATTTTGAGAGTATTACTAACAGGTGAGTGTGTCGCTTTGTCAGTCAACATAATTTATTCGATTTTGCTGGAAACCCTCCTCCCCCAAGATGATTCTTCAATCGCACAAGGCGAATATCATGGTCAGTGGTATTTCTCAGGGGGAGGCCAAGGTTATTTGGGGCCCAACTGAGTCGACTGGAGGTGAAACATTTACAACACTGGCCAACCAAAGGGAAACAAAGACGTCATGTATTTCGCTAAATAAGAAAAGCAGGAGTACGCTCTTATATTGCAAAAAGGGTGATGTCGCTCTGTGTGAGGTGGACTGCTTCGAGAAGTGCCACGCGTGTCAGAGTGTATCATAAACTGTGAAGTGACGCAGTTCAAACTCGTGTACAGTCTGAACAAAATATTATTGTATACAGCGTGATTATATTTACAATATCACCATGATTCAAGGTTGAAGAAAACGGGTATGTCCTTTGGAATTTCATAACATATATAATAAAGATAATATTTTGCATTTCATGACAAAATAATCACAGTTAATTTTCGTTTGTAAAAACTGCTCTTCTGTGTATAAGTAGAAAATTTTATTGTCTTTCAGGTTGTTTTTAGTTTGTATTTCTATGTTGCATAGAACGGAAAATATGTATTTTTTTCTGAAAGTTTGCAATGTTGACTAATTAGGGCGATTTAAATACAGGCCACAGATGGCTCCCGGCAATTTAAAAGTCTGTCCATTAAAGGTTAATAGAGCAAAATTTGTAAGTATGTCCTCTTTATGAAATAACAAAATTACAAGGAAACTTAAGCTTAAATAATTCTTACCACATGTTTTGATCATGCATCTAGAATTATAAGATGACAGCACACTATTTCAGTTCAACTGACCAAATTAATTTTGCATTTAATTACAAAAAATTTTAATGTTGACAGAAGCCTGTTCTTACATAAAAGTTATTATGACAGAAGAGCAATGAAACACTGGAACCATGAACCTGTTCAACAAGGTAACCATGCCTTTCAGGACTGCATCTTTAAACCCCAAGGAATATATCTTCTGTGTGCTGGGATGTATTTAGTTTTGTAACACTACATTACGCAGTGTTATAAACATGTCAAGTTACTTCTAGTGTACAAATAGGCTTATAAGCAATGTGACACCCTAGATGTTAGGATGTGGTTGAAGCTTAAAGTACATTTCCTAGGGAAATTCAAAGCATTCTTAATGAATGTAGAATGACATACGAAGTCATTCTTGTACACACAGTTTTTTGTCCTACATAACAGTATTAAGATGCCATCTTTCTTACTCTAACAGTTTGTGTATGGGTCTTGAAAAATTCCTTTTCCCTGATTATATGAATTAGTAGTAGTTACAGCCAATTATTGCAGGTGACAGAAACTTCCAGTATTTGCTGCACAAAATTTGCCACCGATGAATGATGATAAAGAAATGACATCTGAAACACATGTAACTACAGTAAAACTTGGTTATAGCAACATCGGTTTCTGCGACACCTTGTCTATTGCGTCAAATATTCAATGGTACGAACTAATTCCTCATAAAGCAACTGTTTTTATACCTTGCTTAGTACGACATGCACAAATGCATCAACCTCGTATGTAACGTCATTTTCATTCCTGAATTTCTCTGATATGGACATTGAACGTAATTTAGAAAGTGTGTATTGGGAAAGTAACAGGAAACAGATGAAGATAACTGATTACTGTACTCGTATCTAGGTACAGTAAGGCACAACAATTGATGTAATCTACTGTAATTTGGTGAGTAGGCCTACCTTTAATATTAGTGCGGTGTGTATTGTCAGTGAAAAGCGCTGTAATATGTCTTTGATATTACACATTTGGGCAATTCCACGTTAATGTTACGTTAGTCTGTACTTAACTATGTATTTCACTAAAAAAATGCAACATTTTAACTCAGTTTTTGGTAGATTTTTACGTGACTAACATAAGGCTACTGTGGAAGTGCCCATTTCGGTTACAACGACATTCGTTTATAACGACACTATTTTTAGGTCATTTTGATGACGTTATAACCAAGTTCTACTGTACTTGCAAGTAGCATAAAGCATTATCACTATTGTACCATATTAACAAATTATGCAAGCCAATGAATTACTTACATGATGTCTGTTAAGATCCTTGGCTACTGCAGCATTGTGATCGCAAATATCCGTAAGAGGGCGCCCGGTCAGGATGTACCTGCGGGCACACTCATGGAAGCATTGTGTCTCCCTTGGCGTCTTACACAAGAACCGGTGCATGACACTGCTTGCCTGGCAAAACTGTTCACTATGAAGGGGAGCCTTCCGAAGGATGCTTGACAGTTTGGCTGGTCCACGCACTGGGTTCATGTTTACTCGACAAGCATACATCATATCTCCTTTGCTGTTCAGAGATATTGCTTGAGGATTTGCCTTGCTGGCTGGGCGTGATGCATCTTGAAACACATGCTGATACAAGGTGCAGTCCTGAATACCGTAATGGAACACATTAATTGAATCAATCTATGGCATAGGTATTCTTTGGGCAGATGAAATCTAACAAGCGATCAAGAAATTCCTGAAAATGGGCTACCATGTTCATTACAAGACACTAAACCCAGATACTTCAAAGCATCATTTTAATATTAACCGCCCTGAAGCTCCTCATTGTGCCATTTTCTCCATTTTCCAAACACATTACTCATATTTTATGTGCGGTGAAAGAACAGTTCATAACTCATTTATGAGTACATTCAAACCAACTACTGAGATTTGAGCAGGTAAGTGAGAAAGCATTTGACTTGCAATAAGGAGGTACATATTTCAAATACTGGCTGGTGTTGTCTCTCTCAACTGCTTCATGGTTCTTCTCCATCTTATCAGTCAAATGATAAGAAGGTACCTACATTCACACAATGTAATTCCTTCATTTCATTTTACTTTTCACCATCCTACCAATAACTGTGAAGGGTTTTAAATATTTAATGGTTAATCTCCAAAGTGGATTATCTGCCACCGATAATCAAGACTATACTGTAATCAGTCCATTTCTTTGTTGAACTCAGAAATAAGCAAATACAGCCCAATCACTGACCTACTTACAGTGTTCAGGAACATCAAGAATCATTTGCACACAGCAACAAACATTTAATGTCCCACATTCAAATGCAGATTATAGTACTATCTGAACTTCTGCTGCTGGATAGAGAGCTTATCCAGACGTACCCAACACAATGGTGGAGGTACCTCTCAACATGCAAGCTGTAGAAAAAAGGATCTACATCTCTTCCATAATGAAATTACCCTATAAATCAAAAGACAGGACATAAACAAAAGAAAGCTATGGATTAATAGTAAACAACTGCCACAAACCATTTAAATGGTGAAGACAGGCTACCTCCCAGTCATCTGTGAATGACTGATGGAAATAAAATACCAGCGATAAGTGAAACTTATAAGCTAGTCAAGTTACTGCCAAATATGGATCATATTAACTACCACAAGTCTCACCAGACATTGCCATACAATAGGTTAACAATTCATTAATCTCATACAATTCTGTTGTTTTACTGAAGTAACAAGTCACATTCTTCTTACCCTACTTGTTGAAAGGAAGACATGAGGATCACCTCTCCATGCAACACCTGTAGCTACATCTTTATGTTCATTAAACGCAGCAAAGGGAATATAAGGCCGTCGCACATCCCAAACATTGATGCTACAATCCACCACCAAGGCACAGCTAGCAATGTGGTACTTCCGTTGAGGCCTCCATTTAATATGTCCTACAGATGCAATGGTGTGAATTGTATATTCTAGTGATGGTTTGCCTGCCAGGTCCCACACCTAGAAACATACAAGAATGGGATGGCTTAAGCCAATGGAACATATGTTTTCCAAACCGTCTTTGCTATTTTGCGCACCTCATTGAACTTTATATTAATTTACTGCAGATACAAATCTACTGTTGCAATGTGAACATACCTACAAACACTATGCCATGAACAATTAGAAAATGGTGTTCTTTAGTTTCATTAAAATCTTGACCATACTTTCACATAATGGTAGATCTTAATGAGATCTATACAGTGGAACCCCTTTGTCACACCTTTTTGGAGATTAATGAAATATGGTGCAAACTACAGAAAACCATAAGCTTAGCTCTTACCTTGACATTAACCCTTGACTAGAATACTCAGCATATATCAGTAAATTACCATGCAATGTACAAACATTTTTATAGCATATAATTCCCAGAAATGAAAAACATACAGTGTCACACAGTTGGATAAAATCCATCCACTCTGATTTGCTTTTCTTTCAATCACATGATGGTTTCTGACTACTTTTTTCACAGGTGATAGTGATAATCCAACTTGTGCTAAGGAAATACAGGCACTGAACACGCTTGTCAACATCCTGTGGTACATTAAGTTTTTCTTGAAGTGGTTTTATTTTCCTTATTTGCCTTATCAAACACAAAAACTTTACTACAATGTACACAAAAAATTCAACTATTACATAATTTAAGATTGATGATGATGATGATGATGATGATAATGACAACAAACAGTAACAAAGGTTAAATTAAAAATTGAAAGCTGAAGTTATTCTTGCATAACTTCAGCTGGTGGTCCAAGTAGCCAGAAGTTAAAGAAAAATAGTTAAAAAAATAAATAAATAATGAGAACAACTGAAAATTTTAAATTAAATAACATCTATTTTGCATACCTAAAATCACGCAGGAAAATAGGGCTGAAAAATAATTATGTAAATTATGGGAAAATGTGCATTGTGGGAACATACAAATGAAATTTTACTGTATCCTACGTCAAGCACTAGTTCCAATATGGCTCTCATGGTAAAGTAACTAGGCTATGGGCTGGTTCATTAAGGAACTGGGATTAGTCCCAGCTGGAGCAAAAGCTACTTCTCTTCTCCAGTGTCCAGACCAGCCCTTGGGCCCACCCAGCCTCCTATAAAACAGGTGTTTGGATGTGTTTCCACCTTCATATTGCGCCAAGGTTATTACATATTCCGTCATAGATTTCACATTAAATTATAATAATGACATTGTTTCACCTTAATTGTTTTATCTCGACTAGCAGTGGCTAGCCAGGCAACTTCAGGATGCCAGTCACAGGCAAACACTGGCCCACTGTGAGCAGTAAACTGATGATAACAGCGATCAGGACGTCTCAGGTCCCACAGCTGAACGTTGCCATTTTCAGAAACAGCAGCAAACACGTGATGGAGCTGAGGACTGAACTGAACATCACGGACGCTTTCAGTGTTACTGAAATGGAATATTAGGTGCAGCAGTGTAAACTATTTAAATATACAGTGCCGGTGGCTTAGCAACACAGAACACAGCATATACGAAGTTCTGTCTCCTCATTCTCTTATTACACCTTACACGAAGAAGCAGCTGCGAAACGGACCACCAAGAATATTTTGACAACTCCTATCATGTATAGCTATATTAACATAAGAAATACATATATGAAGACTAAGTACATGTGGTTTATGAACTTCATTCTTGCGGAGATGGCCACTTAAACCATTCCTTAAACTTTACCTGTAAAACGTCCGAGTTGCTTCTCTTGTTCGAAGATCAAAACATTTCATGGTCCCATCCTGAGAACCAGAAATGAGCCAAGTAGGTTCTGATGTGTGGAAGCTCACTTTGTTTACAGTTCGTTTGTGATCCATAAACACATGTTCCTGTTTTGATCGTGAAAGTCGATTCAGGTTCCATAGAACAACAGCACCATTTGTAGCAGCAGTCGCTAAGAGATGATCTGTAAAGAAATAAGGGCAATGTTCATTAAATATGGTTAGTCAGGAAATGAAAGATGTTCACTCTGCAAATTTTTTTTTTCTGTGGCACTACAGCCCCAATTTGGGCCTAGGCCTACCTCCATGAAACTCTCCTTTTCACTTCGGTTTACTAGATCTTAAACATTCGGTAGGACTCCTTGGGCGAGTGATCAGCTTGTCGCAAGGCCTCTACCTGTAGACAAACACAGAAAAACGCAACACAAACATCCATGCCCTGAGTGGGATTCGAACCCACGATCCCAGCTTCCGAGCGAGTGAAGACAGTGCATGCCTTAGACCGCTCGGCTACCGTGACCGGCTCACTCTGCAAATAGTTTTCAGTAACAAATTTGTTTTCAGACTTTCTGTATATATGTGTAAATGTGTAATATCAGCTAATGAGCATTCAGTATGTACCTACACACCTGTAAGTTTACAGAAAAAACTGTAATGGACACTGAGCACATGCACTTATGCTTATATCGCACAGGAGATACTGTACCTTCGATTGTGTTCCACGCAACATCGTTACACGAAAAATTAAGATTCAGGTTCTTCCCAACTCTGAGATTACAGTTCTCTACGAATTCATCTTCTTCAATTGAAAATACCTTGAACACTGCAAAATAAAAATTTCTGTCACCATTCTGAAAACCTTATATTTTATAAGTATATGGTTCCATATGCAGTTCTAGGAGAATGTCCTTCTGTTCTTGCATAGAAAAGAGGAGACTCATCACAGTGTTGAGGGGTACTACATCATTAATGATATAATCAGTGTACTGACTTGTTACACTACGGTGTCTTTGTGCACTACTGAAGGAGTAGGATGGCAAGAGTAGTGGAAAAATGCAAAACTGTAAATTCTAATGTTGGCAGCAGAAGACCATGCTGACCATATAGCTACACATCTACCAGTAAACATTTATCATTATTTAGCATGACACATGAGATTTACTGCTGTGAAAACAAAAAGGATTTTATTTTACTGTTATATCATGAGTCCTCTAATTAACTACTACCTTACTTATAATGCCAAGTCAATGTGTTTATAGTCAGAACAAAGAACAAAAGACCAGATATCAAAACATTAATATCTGAAGATGATATATCAATAAATAACCCCTCCTTTTTATCATTAAGGAGGACCAACGAAGAGGAAACAAAAAGGATTGGTCTAGACACTAAACCAAAACATGGCGATGGGTCCCAGTGGGGTCCGATGCCAGGAGTGGCTGTCCTGGCTGATTGCCGGCAGTAAGCTTCTGCTCTGCTCTCCTCTACTCTCCTCTACTCTACGAAAGAACAAGGCCGTAACTGTTAAACACTAATGAGCCCCAGACTGAGACTTACTGACTGACTGTCAGTCACAATGTGACTTTGACTTTGACAGTTTTCATGATACCAGTGTGGAGGTGAGGTCAAATACCTCCACTGTGACCCTCTGAGTAGTAGGAGGCGACGGAAAGGGAAGTCTCAAATCTGAGACAGTAAAATATGGTTGTGAGTCCAAAGGAAGTCAGACGTCAGAAAAACTGCGCTGGCAAGGGCCAGCAGCATACACAAAAAGACAGACCACAAAAACAAGATCGTAACTGTCAAACAGTAATAAATATCTGATGAGCTCCAAATGGGACTCGACACCAAGACTGACTGTCAGTAGCCATGTGACTTTGACTCTGACTATGACTATGAGATAGGGTGATCAAGCATATGACCGTTCAAGTAACTAGACTGCTGTTGTAGCAGGAGTTACTAATGTTAGGGCATGAACTGCTCTACTCAGCCTGGACTGACAGGGACCTTGTATATGTACTGATGAAAAATGTGATATTCTTGTACAGTTTATGGAAAGAAAAGGATAAGATATCCTCATAGTTTCATGGTAACAAAGAGAAAATAAGTGCCATTCCCCCTACATTCATGTTCTGTGTACAGTCCCAGCATCATAATTACATTACATTACAGTACATTACATTGCATTGCATTCCATGGATCCAAAGTTAGTCAAAATGACTGTAGGATGTGGAATACGTCATATAAATACAAAACATATGTACAGTTCCAATGGAGTTCTCACACAAGAGAAACCAAGAATACACACTGGCTACACACTAGGCTATTAACTGTAAATATGTTGCTTATTGATGTCAAGTGAATTGATCATTACAGTTATAAGTTTTGAGCACCTTTGACTTACTATCATCTGCTATGAGGAAATGTTTACTGCCCACATATTTAAAGATGCATCTTTCATCACTCCACTGAAAGTCCACCCTCTTTAATTTTTTTCTTACAATACAGTCCTTTATTTGTGTTAGATAAAAGTTTCAATTTCTTAAATGTAGTATCACAACGGTTTTTTTAAAGACTTGTATAAAGGTTGTAACTGCCAAAATATTGCAGATACATAATTACTTCATACCAGTAAATCCATTGCAACTTGCTATTGGATATCAAATTCTGTATTTCAAGATAACAGAGATATTCATATATTTGTGAAAATTAAAATCTTACCACATACTAAAGCGCCTAAATCCCTTAATTAATATCTATGGATTTAATAATAATAAGAACTTTAAACTTTGAGAACTCTCACTTCATGGATATACAAATCTTAATAATAACAACAACAACCAAAGAATCTGTTACGCCATAATTGACAGCACTGTTTGACTTGACATGGAATGACTCATGCATGAATGTTCACATGTCAAGAGTCAAGTGTATTTGTAATTTTCATGTACTGACAGTTTCCTGACAGTCGGAAAAAATCTGTACAATACTTACAAGAATAACCAAATAAAACAATATTGTAACGTGTTTCATTACTGAATACGCCGCAGAGATGGTTAATTGGTTTAACAATCTACAAATATCGGCTACAATTACTTATCACACAGTTGCGGGGTTTCACACTTTATAACCCTAATCGCATTAATCTGTTACCACTGTTGCGGGGTTTCACGATTTATAACCCTATGCGCAAATCAGTTCACTCTGTCTTCAGTGGTCTACACGTTTACAGTAGGGGAGCTATGTATCGCTGTATCACACGCTCCCAATTACACAATCACACACACGTCCGGTTCTTCTTTCCGCGACGGCTGCTATACTCCAACTTGTAGTCGGCTGACTGGAGAACTGTTGATAACACACTCGGTGACTGTCGCATTACAACTGACTCGTAGCTGCTGTGCAGTTCCCTTATATAGCCGCAGTGGTGCCTGTTGCATGCCACGTCACAGTAGGAAGTTGATTACGGGTACGTAGTGTTGCGCGTTACGTCACCGCGGAGGGGAGGGAGGGATGATTACTCGCCTATTACGCGAGCGCTACGTTACCGGTACGTGCAGCTGGGGAGGTAGGGGTCAACATGTCACACTATGTTTGTTCATGTAATTTTTCAAATCTAAAATGGTACTATGCGCTGCCATCTATGAAAATTCCACTCAATTTTGTATGATGACAAAAGATTTAACAAAGAGAACTAGGATTAACACAAACCTTTTAACTAGCGCAATATAAACCTAATACAAAACAAATTGGCTGTATGTTTCGGAGGTGACAAACAGGAATGTTTAGAGCAGAAAGTGACTGATTCTTAGTTATTTAATAAAGCTGTATTAACTGCTACATTTACAATTATAACAACAAATTACGTAGATTAATGATAGGAATGATAAACATACAGGAGCACAGGAGAAGGCAGTTATGCCAGGACCAAAACAAAAAAACAATCAGAAGACCCTGCAATCCATCTGAGATTTTATTCATGTACATAATGAACATAGTTACTACATTACACTTAATATCAAATGTTGGGGTCAAGAGGACAGCACTCCTGCTTCATATTTGGGGCATTGTGGGTTCAAGTTTTGTTTGTGGTTCTCCTCATTCTCACCAGACAAGTGAAGGGTACCTCATATTAAACCATGACTACTTCCTTCCACAACCTCTTCAATCATTCTGCCATTTGACACTATTATCATTTGAACTACTGACAGCATTAAGTAAACCATAAAAGAAAAGAAAACTGTTTTTAGGATTGTTATGGAAATAGTAGGACTATCATTAATTTACCAGATATAGAGGGGAAAACATGACTTCTAACATTGGATTATACAAAGGAGATAATTATACTTGGAATGACTGCAGATGTCCTAAATTGGGAGCATGGATGAAGAGGAAGGGAAATCATTCCTCTTATGTATGAAAAATTCTAACAGTATATCAATGTGTCAAAGTGGCAGAGCTTAATTACAAAGTTATCCATCTATGGGTACTATTTAAGTTAAGTTGAAAGTTGAAAGTTATATTGATCTGAACACAAATCAAAATCCAATGCATTCGCTAGATAGGTTTCATTCAATGACAGTACTGTTACGGAACACTTCTGTCTTCTGGGATATAATGTCATGTAGACTGCTGAAAGTCAACCAATGTTTCAGAGGAACATATTGTACCAATCTTCTGGGTCAAAGCCAGGCAAGAAACCAGCATGAATTCCTTGCTATATGCTTCATGCTGGTGTCTTGCTAGGCTTTACTTCGAACCTGAAGATGGAGACGACATGATCCTTCAAAATATTGTGGGTTTTCAATGGACTACAAGGCGTTATATCCCAAGAGATCCAACTCTTCATAACCACCACCATGAGATCTTCAATTCCTATATAATATTGTTACTGCTTACGATACTGCAGGATATCTTATAATTTATAATAATGACACACATCAAAATGAAACCGTTACCATTTCGTCCTGCAATGACAACCTGGGAATAATCTTTATTCAGAGCAAGTGCATTAGCAGGGCCATCTTGTGTAATGCACGTCGTTCGAGACATTTCCACTAAGCTTGTTCCTGATTCTATAATTGGTAACACTGTTTTTTGTGCGCAAATGTCAACTTTAACCTACAAAAATTACACTCAATAACATTAAACGAAGCTTAATCTTTGGATTTCACGTATTCTTGTTTCACAGCTCTGTCCTAAGCAGTCACAAATATAATGGGAATGGCTACATACACACAGAAAACACTTGAACATTTTTTTCTGTGAAATTGTCACGTTTCAAGAATCACTACTTCACACCACATTTATTTTCGTCAACATAACAAGTTTATAACATTTACGTGTTTTCCCACTACATCCTCGTGCGTGTCGTACAGTCATTTCGTCCGTCTTTTCAGGGTTGCCAACCAGTTGTTCAATTAAGTATGTAAAGGCAAAGATCTTACGTGAGGGATTGGAACGTGAAGGTGAACAGTTCCGAACGAACCCTGTAAACATTTTGTTAGGAGATTTCAATGCCAGAATAGGTCAAGGTATTTTCAAAACAACGATTGGGAACAAGAATATACCCGAATTTCGTAATGAAAATGTTCCCACACAGCAACATTCTTAAATTTTCAGGATCATCTCCTGATCCACATTGTGCACATTTTGATAGATATGTGACTGAATTCAAATGATTTTCATTTCATGCATCCTGCTGTGTTACAATATATACAACTTATTTATTTGACCGTCACAACACAACAATAAAAGAACTTCAAGGACAATGCCCAGATATAGTTCTGCTATATGTTTCGGCCATTAGTGGCCATCATCAGGCAAACACACTTTAACAAACGTACACCACTGAACTGCAGTACGCAAAATTTGATACAGTGTCATAAATCATTTAAGATAATTTGCAATAAGAATACAATAAGTAGGTTATTTAAAACCAATAAAAGTCATATATAAAAAAACAAAATTAAAATTTGATTGATGTTTTTTAACATTGAATCAGTCATTGGTTCCACTTTACATACGTATCCGTCAACAAATAGTAAATTTCAATGTTTCATTATAAAATTGTATAGGAGGCCCAATAATTAATGGAATAGTTGGAGCCTCATCATACGGAGAATTGTACGTAATGTATGGGAGGTAAGCAACGACAACAATTTTATAATGAAACACTGAAATTTACTACATGTCTTATGAATGAAAAGGCACAATTTAAAATGGTACTGAAACGATACTTAAATACACATTCATTCTACTCTGTTGATGAATACCTATTGTCTAGAAAATAACTTATATATCTTTAAATAGCCTTGTGTGTAGTCACTGTGTATTCTTGGTTTCCTTGTGTGAGCACTCCATTGGGACTGTACATATGTTTTGTATTTATATGACAAATTCCACACCCTGCAATCATTCTGACTAACTTTAGATCCATGGAATGCAATGCAGTGTTATGTTACGTCAATCACAACAAACCAACCGGGCAAGAAAGTACACAATAGTATGAAGTTAACTTCTTAAGTGGTCCTTAAACGAACAATAATAATGTCATTCCTTATCAGAATGACATTCATAATGATCATGTAAGGTTTATGGAACTGGAATTATGGTCACTAATGACACGAATCCAGATTTGACTGTAGTAATTATCAGGGGATATCACTGCTATCAATTTCATACAAAATTTTATCCAATATTCTTCTAACAAGGTGAAGTCCATACATAGATGGAAATTATTGGGGATCATCAGTGTGGGTTTCGAGATAACAGATCAACTACAGATCAGATCTTTTGCATTCGTCAGATACTGGAGAAATAATGAGAGTACAATGAGACAGTACATCAGCTATTCATAGACATTCAGCCTGTGATTCAGTTAGGTGGGAAGTATTGTACAATATTCTGATAGAGTTCATAATACCCTTGAAACTAGTCAGGCAGATGAAGATGTGTTTAAATGAAACGTATGGTTAATTCTGTATAGGTAAACATTCATCTGATAATTTTCATACCAGAATGGTTTAAAATGAGATGCTTTAGTGCCACTGATATTCAACTTTCCTTTAGACTATGCCATTAGGAAGGTCCTAGAAAACCAGTTGGGACTGAAATTAAATGGGACACATCAGCTGTTGGTCTGTGCTAATGATGTGAATCTACTGGGTGAAATATAGATACCACAAAGAAAAACACACAAACTTTAATTGATGCTAGTAAGGGGATTGCTCTAGAAGTAAACACAGAGAAAACTAAATATATGTTGGTATCTCATCGCCAAAATGCAGGGCAATATCAGGACATAAATATAGGTAACATATGTTTTCAAAATGTGGCACAGTTCAGATATTTGGGAATGACTATAACAAATCAAAACCTGATTCACGAGGAAATTAAGAGGAGATTGAACACAGGTAATGCTTGCTACCATTCAGTTCAGAGCCTTTTGTCATCTTGTCCGCTGTCTGAAAATATAAAAATTAGAATATACAAAACTATAATTTTGCCTGTGGTTCTGTATGAGTGTGAAACTTTGTCCCTGACATTAAGGGAGGAACAAAGACTTAAGGTGTTTGAGAACAGGGTCTTGAGGAGAATATTTGGACCAAAGAGAGAAGAAGTGACAGGAGGCTGGAGAAAACTGAATAATGAGGAGCTTTATAACTTGAATGATCAAGTCGAGAAGGATGAGGTGGGCAGGGCATGTATCACGAATGGGAGAGAGGAGAAATGCATGCAGGATATTGGTGGGAAAGCTGGAAGGAAGGAGACCATTGGGAAGACCAAAGTGTAGGTGGATGGACAATATTAAAATAGATCTCAGAGAGATAGGATTGGATGGTATTGATCTGACTCAGGATAGGGACCGCTGGAGGGCTCTTGTGAACACGGTGATGAACCTTCAGTTTCCATAAAATGCTGGGAAGTACTTTAGTAGCTTCACAATTGGCAGCTTCTGAAGAAGGGCTAAGCTGCATGAGTGAGTGTGAGTTTCTCATTAAAACACTACTGTTTCTTTACTTCTGTAACAGTCCAAACCTTTCAATACTCTTTAATGGACATTATGTTCCCCTTTAGCCATTTCAGTAGAGTGACTGATTTATTAGGGAGACTCATCCATTAAGAAGTTATGACTTGCTTTTCGCATTTAGACAGGAACGACTGCCTTGTTTTGTTACCTGCAGCTTGGGTGACCGCTAAAGGGACTTGACCCATTAGGAAAAGACATGTCTGTTGTTTTCCTAAGATGTAAACGTTGTTTTGCTAATAGGGTAGCTGTTATAAAAGTGTCTTCGGAAGGGTGTAATTAGACCCTAAACTAAGAAATAACCGCTTTCACATGTAGGGTTCCGGGTTCAATATCTTTGGATCTCTTTATTCTCAAAGTTAGTAATGTGATTGTCTAGTACTGATGGTATGATGAACTGGCAGTTAAAATCGGCCATTAGAAAACCATTCTTGTCTAGGAGAAAGGCCGTCGGTTCAAATCCTATACAGTGATGAAGTGACGCTCCCGCAGAATAGAGTGGGCAGAAGCACTTGGCATTTTGAATTCACCAGAGGCAGACGTCATTTAGCTGCTCTCTCCAAGTTTATCTAAATTTAACATTCTTTATTTGGTTCGATTAATCGTTGATAATAATAAAGGGGCACATTACTCCGTACTTGCCAATAAAGATATAGTGTTTGCTTCTGAAATAAAAAAATTTGTGATTAAGCAGAAAATAGAGTATTTTATTTCTATCAGTGGACTTGCTTTAAATGTGCAGTCTCCGAGTTGACTTAGTTATTACCGTGACACAACCCTGAGAAGAGTCAAAATGTTCTACCGAAGCGGGAAAATAAATGAGTTAAGTGTTATACCGAAGCGGGCAAATAAAGGAGTCAAGTGTTCTACCGAAGCGGGCAAATAAATAAACATAAAGATAGATAGGCAACGGTCACAAGAAGTGGCTCCCATCGGTTGTAAGGAGTGACAGCCGAAGAGCTGTAATACTTCTGACTAATGCATTAATTTATGTTTAAACGTTCTTTGTCTCATAGCAATTGGGATTTCGTCTGAAAACTTCTCTTACTCTTCTTCATTGATCCTTGGGATCTAATTTCTGGTAGTTTTCTTTCTTAGTTATGTGGTGCCGGGAGTATGAAAGTCCAATGTATTCTCCTCTTTTCCATGCCTCTAGATAATTCATAGATAGATTTCTTATTTATCAAACATGATCCAGCAGCACATTTCCTAAGATCCTACTGATGATTAGACTACTGGTGTGGGGATTTTATATCTGCAGAACTCTTGTTTACATTATGTCGGCGTCTTGCTTTGTCTCCGTTATCTTCTGGCAGTGAAGCAAGAGGTCAGATGCTATCAAGACTGATGAACCCCAGTCACAATGAAGATAGACCAAAAACAACTGGAGAATGTGAAATGTTTTAAATATTTGGGTAGCTTGTTAACAGTTGATGGAAGGTGTACGTGTAAAATTAAATCTAGGATTGCCATGGCAAAAGCTGCATTTAGCAAGAAGAAGAATCTTTTACCAGCAAATTGGACTTAAATTTGAGAAAGAAACTAGTGAAATGCTACGCTTGGAACATCGCTTTGTATGGGACTGAAAATTGGACACTTAGGGCAGTAGATCAGAAACACCTGGAAAGCTTCGAAATGTGGTGTTGGAGAAGGATGGAGAAGATCAATTGGACCGATTATGTGAGAAATGAAGAAGTGTTATTTAGAGTCAGTGAGCAGAGGACTATCCTACACGAAATAAGAAAACGGAAGGCTAATTGTATTGGCCATATCTTGCACGGTAACTGCCTTCTAAAAGAAGTTATGGGAGGAAAGTTAGAGGGGCTGCATTTAGCAAAAAGAAAAATCTTTTTACAAGCAAATTGGACTTAAACTTGAGAAAGAAACTAGTGAAATGCTATGTTCGGAGCATTGCTTTCTATGGGGCTGAAACTTGGACACTTAGGGCAGTAGATCAGAAACACCTGGAAAGCTTCGAAATGTAGTGTTGGAGAAGGATGGAGAAGATCAGTTGGACCGATTATGTGAGAAATGAAGAAGTGTTATTTAGAGTCAGTGAGCAGAGGACTATCCTACACGAAATAAGAAAACGGAAGGCTAATTTGATTGGTCATATCTTACGCGGTAACTGCCTTTTAAAAGAAGTTATTGAAGGAAAGATAGAGGGGCGGATAGAAGTGACCAGAAGACGAGGAAGAAGACGTAAGAAGATGCTGGGTGACCTTGGGGACAGAAGAGGATATTTTCATTTGAAGAAGAAAGCGCTAGATCGCATAAAGTGGAGGAACTATTTTGGAATAGACTGTGGACCTGTCGTCTTGACAGATTACAGATGAATGGATGAAAAAAAACGTATCTGACTTCATTTAAAAGTTCCCTGTCATGTTAGGGTGGGTTACAAAATCAACTTTAATAGAAATATACACAGTGTGTCCAGGTTTTGTTAGGTCTGTGTTCATTAGAAATACAAGACGTGAACTATTTTCAAAATTTCACTCCTGTTATTCAAAATAGTGTCTTTCGGAATCAATACATAGCTGGAATAGATTGAAAAGTTCTCGAAAATAGTCACTGTACTCCTTTTGTGGAATCGTATTTAAAATTGCCATAGTTTCCCTTTGAATGTCCTGGATGGTGTCGTGACGGTCACCTTTCATCTCCAACTTAACTTTTGAGAATAACGAGAAATCTGCTGAAGCCAAATCTGGCGAATACGGAGAATAATAAAGGCCTGAGATCCATTTTCTGGCCAAAGGTTCGCGCACGATCTTCGATTTGTGGGTGGGGCATTGTCGTGGAGGAGCGACCAGGAATTCTTCTTGCTCACGATATTCAGGTCGAATTCGAAGAATTCTGGCCCCCACCCGATTGAGGATTCCGAGGTAATAATCAGATTTCACTGTTTGACCTTCTGGCAGAAATTCCTTGTGAATGATTCCTTTTCAATGTAAGAAAACGGTTAGCAGTGTCTTTACTCGACTCTTTTGCATGCGCGCTTTCTTTGATTTCGACTTCTTTGGGCTCACCCACGCTGCACTCTGCCGTTTTGTGAGAGGCTCATTTTGAAAACACCATGTTTCGGTGTCTCGTCACCAGTAACGATCTATTTTGTAAATTTTGTGTCACTTTGGGCCGATCGTAACATATCTTTGCAGTGTTCCACTCTGGCATTTTTTTATCTCCTGACAGCGCGTGCCGTACAGACCTTCCGTTTGCCAAAATCCTCGGTTAAAATTTGATGCAGAGTACTTTTTGGTATTCCCAAAAGCTCCTCGATGAGTCTTGCAGAAACACATCTGTCAGATGCAAGGATTTCGGTCACTTTTTTCACATTTTCTTCAGCGCGACTTGTTCTCGGCTTTGATGCACGTGGAGCATACCATCGAAAAATATTCGAGCGACTCAAACAATCACTACCGTACACACTATTCATCATTTCGTACGCTTCTCCGGCTGTTTTACCTAACTTCAAACAAAATTTGATGTTGGCTCTCTGTTCAAGCGCCATTTTCCGACGAGTGTCAGAACAGTACTATTACTTTCAAGGTCAGAACACATGATGCAGCGATGCTTGCGCTTTGAAATTATAGACAGCCACAGCTGAAACTTCAAGAATCTTAATGCCACAACTCGCTAACAAATGGCATTTCAGGGCAAAATTAAGAAAAATGAGTCCTAACGGATCGTGGACACACCGTGTATATGTTCAAACCCAAGAAGCTACAGAAGACTGTTTACAGCTTTTGAAATGTACTTAAAATGAGGATGCAATAGTAATTATCAGAACTGTAAGCATCATTAATATTTGTCGCGTGTCGGGAATCCATGGAAACGCAATAACACTGGGACGTTACTTAGGAATACCATAAGCAACAAACGCGTTTCCCCGGAGATGAAAGGACAACAGAGGATTCGTTGCATGACAGCGGTCTAGATCAAAGGCTCCTAGATGGTGCGTTATATTCCTTCTGAAACCAGGTTATAGAAGTTCAGCTTCGAAGGGACTAGACAATTTTCCAGTTCCAGTTCGAGTCAGTTGAAGTTTCAAAAGCAGACATTTGTTAAATAAGATGGATGAAATAATTACACTGAGACTGAGGGTTATAGAAGGTCATGGACTAGCAAAAAAACACATATTTGGATCCAGTAATCCTTATGTAAGGATAGACCTCCGTTCAATTAATGGAGATGTAACTGTTAATTCAGTTCTCACACAAAAGAAGAAAATGACCCTGAACCCCAAGTGGGATGAAGAGTTTATATTTGTTGTTAAACCAACAGAACATAAGCTTGTATTACAAGTTTTCGATAAGAACCGGCTGACTCGTGATGGTTTCATGGGAATGGTGGAGTTGATTCTTCTTAATCTGCCTACGGAGCAAGAAGGAAGAACTATACCATCCAAACAGTATATTCTCCGCCCTCGCAGTGCCAGATCTCGAGTGAGAGGTCACCTGGAGTTGTACCATGCTTTTATAGGAGAGCCAGCAGGAGGAGGAGAGATAATGAGGCCTGGTGAAGAGGTTCTGAGATCACGACAGGAGTCAGATCCTGACTTGAAGATTGTTGATGAACCCATCATGCCAAATGTGGAGTCTGCTGCTCAGAACCAGGAACAGTTACCATCTCTGCCACATGGATGGGAAGAACGACAGGATGCTAATGGCCGCACGTACTATTTGAACCATATTGCCCGTTCTATTCAGTGGGAAAGGCCTTCCTTTAACAATGATGGTCAAGTCCTTGTGCGTAGTCTAGAATCTGCAGTTACAGAATTTCAGAGACGGTTTCACATTAGTGTAGATGACATTGAAGCTAACAGAAGAGAAAGTAACTCAGCAGTTCATCAGGCTGATGACATTACAGACAGTACTGATCAGTCCCAACATGAAGCAGAAACTTTGTCCACATCTGAGTCCCGAGCACCAAATTCATTGGATATGAACTCTGAAGGACTACCTCATGATATTACAGACAGTACTGATCAGTCCCAGCATGATGCAGAAACTTTGTCCATACCCGAGTCCCGAGCACCGACTTCATTGGATATGAACTCTGAAGGACTACCTCGTATTATTACAGACCGTACTGATCAGTACCAGCACGAAGCAGAAACTTTATCCACACCTGAGTCCCGAGCACCGAATTCATTGGATATGAACTCCGAAGGACTACCTCATGATATTACAGACCGTACTGATCAGTCCCGAGCGCCGATTTCATCGGATATGAACTTTGAAGGACTACCTCAGGGATGGACAATGCAATTAGCACCCAGTGGTCGGGTTTTTTTCATTGATCACAACGAAAGGGCTACAACATGGGTAGATCCTCGCACAGGAAGTGCCAGCCCCATGCCAAACCAAAACCATCCACCTAAACAACGGCCTGCCAGAGGGGCTCTGCCAGAGGGGTGGGAAGAACGAGTTCATAAAGACAGAAGATTATTTATTGATCATAATACCAGGAAAATTCAGTGGGAGGATCCAAGATTGTATAACATACAGATTGTTGGTCCAGCAGTGCCACGCTCTTTTGACTACAAGTTGAAGTATAAATATTTGAAATCTAAATTAAAGAAACCAATCAATGTGCCAAATAAGTTTGAGATCAAGGTAAGAAGACAGCATATTCTGCAAGATTCGTACAGAATCATCAGTAGTGTGAACCGAATGGAGCTCTTAAAAACCAAGTTATGGGTCCAGTTTGATGGTGAAGTGGCCTGGGATTATGGTGGATTGACTCGCGAGTGGTTCCTTCTGGTGTCCAAGGAGATGTTCAATCCGTACTATGGTTTATTTGAATATTCTGCTATGGATAACTACACCCTTCAGATTAATCCATTATCCAGGTTGTACAATGAAGAACACCTCAATTATTTTAAGTTTATTGGTCGGATTGTTGGGATGGCTGTTTATCATGGTAAACTGCTGGATGCTTTTATCATCCGTCCTTTTTACAAGATGATGTTGGGCAAGCCAATCGTTCTAAAAGATATGGAAGGTGTTGATTCAGAATACTACAATTCTTTACTTTGGATCAAGGAGAATGATCCTTCAAAACTTGAACTTACTTTCAGTTTGGATGAAGAGAGCTTTGGTCACTTTTCACGGCGGGAACTGAAACCAGATGGTGCAAACATTCCTCTTACAAATGAGAATAAGGACGAATATATAAGGTTGATTATCAATTGGCGGTTTGTTTCACGAGTACAAGATCAGATGAATGCATTTCTTCAAGGTTTTTGTGGCCTTGTGCCCCTTAAGTACGTCAAGATATTTGATGAACATGAGCTTGAACTACTAATGTGTGGCATACAGAATATTGATGTCAACGACTGGAAGAAGAATACGGTGTATAAAGGCATCTATAATCCCTCTCATATTACTGTGAAGTGGTTTTGGGCGGTTGTCATGTCATTTAATAATGAGATGCGAGCAAGACTCCTGCAGTTTGTAACAGGAACTTCTCGTGTTCCTATGAATGGGTTTAAAGAACTATATGGCAGCAATGGTCCGCATCTGTTTACCATACAGAAATGGGGTCGGCCAGAAAATTATCCACGTGCCCATACATGCTTCAATATGTTAGATTTGCCTCCTTATAAAAGTTACCAGCAACTACGTGATAAGCTCGTTCAAGCTATTGAAGGATCACAAGGATTTGCTGGAGTAGACTAACTGTCATGAGCAGTCGTGTGACAATCAGACTCCTTCATCAACTGTACTGTATTGTACATACTGAGACTTTTTTAAATTTCACTTTAAAAATGCTTCGACTGTTCATAGGTGTATCAAATTATATATAAAAATTTGTACAAAATTCCTCACTGTCATTTTACAATTGCCATTATAGGGAACTTGAGGATCCCGGAGGAAGGAACTGGCCGTCGCCCGCAGAGGTACGACTCGCCGCGCCAGAGTGGCATGGCACAAGAGGAACATAGCCAGAAAAGTTTGTACCAGACCCAGTGTGGTAGAAAAAATCTGGACCGGACAGACGTTCGGGAGTAGACGTCAGCCGAAACTGGAATGCAGCAAGGGCGTAAGGAGCCAAGATGTAGAAGAGCCGCTATATCCGAGGAAAGGGAGGAAAACCGCAAACAGTATAGGAGGATGGAGCGGAAGACAGCGACCACTACTGGAAAAGAAAGAATCTAACAGGACATACAGGGAGACGACTGGACTAGAGATCGAGAAGCGTATAGCCGGATCTTCTGTCGGCCTACGACAAAACAAGGATTGGACCTTGTGGAGGGGTCGACCCCCTCCGAAACGAAAAAAAAAAGCGCATAGGGGAGGAACCGATAATATAGAAGCACCGCCTCCCCAGCTAGAATGAATGTGAGAGAAAGTGAGGGGTGAATGTAATACGGCAGGACCAACGAACGACGGACCATAGAGCTGTTCGGGACGAGCACCTTTGAGGAAGGGGGCGGAGGATACGAAGGGAAGTAACGTTAGGCTGTTCGGGATGAACTGCTTTTAGAAGGAGCAATGTCGCGTGCCGGGAATCCATGGAAACGCAATAACACTAGGCCATTGATTAGGAATACCTTAAGCAACAAAAGCATATCCACGGAGATGAAAGCACAGTAGAGGATTCGTTGCATGACAGCGGCCGTGATCAAAGGCTCCTAGATGGTGCGTTATATTCCGTCCGAAACCAGTTTATAAAAGTCCAGCTTCGAAGAGACCAGACTTACACAGTACTACAATTGCCAAAACTTTGGCCATGTCTGGGCCAACTGCAAGCAACCCCCAAGATGTACCTCGTATGAGGCACAGGGTTTGGACAAAACAATGGAAACACTATGGACACCGTACATATTTGTTTATAACATTCTGCTGGACCAACTTTTGCCTTCAATACTGCCGCAATCCTTCTTTGAATGGACTCATACAAGTTTTGAACAGTGTTCAGAATTTTATACCCTTTTTCTTGAAGAATATCTTCAAGTTGCTTTATTGATGTTTGAGGTGGGTATCTGTTCCTCACTCTAGTCTCCAAAACTGAAAAGAATAGTTCAATGATGTTCAAATGTGGTGATTGGGCTGGCCAGGAAGTTCACCTGCATGCGTTTCAAACCAAGATCGAAGAGTTCAAGCGTTTCCAGTTGTCTGATGTCTAGGTTTTATGGTCATGACAGGACACCATTTTTTACGCATCTGATCATTTATTTTGATCTCAGCAATGCATTCCACCTGGACCCACTTTCTCTTCTTCATAAGCTTAGTGCTATTGGGTATTCTGGTGGTTATGTAAGCTGGTTTCGCAGTTACCTATCCAACCGGAAAATCCAGGTCCGTGTTTCTGGTGTTCTTTCCTCATCTTTTGAAGTTCTCTCCGGTGTACCTCAGGGATCTGTCTTGGGACCCCTTATCTTCACTGTGTTTATTAATGACATGTGCGATGCAGTTGCCCATTCTAAGTGTCTGCTTTTTGCTGATGACGTCAGAATTTACCTTGCCATTAGTTCTCCTCAGGATTGCTATCTACTTCAGTCTGACATTAACGCTACATGGTCGGTACGTTGCTAACTGTATGAAACTCAACATCAGTAAAATTAAAGTTATATCCTTCTCCAGGAAGACCGACGTACTTATCTACGATTATAAACCTTGTCAATCGTCAATAGCCCGGATCGATTCTATAAAAGACCCGGGAGTGTTTACTGATGCTAAGCTATATTTCCACGACCAGGTCAATTACATATTCTCTCACTGTGCTAAACTGTTTGAGAGTTAAAAAATACTGAAAACGGCATAAATAAATCTATTGTCATCCTTACAGCTGCTGACTAAAATTCTATAGATATTCAATTTCTGGACAAAGCACTTCAGGCACTGAAACCCTAATATGCCCTATGACTAATCACTGTGAGCCCGTCATAAACTCATTTATCAAACATTTAGCATGATTTCCATTCATATAAGAATGGACTAGAACTTGGATTCATTAAAACATTCCACAATGCTTCATCTTTCACACCAGCTTCTGCATTGCTACTATGAAAACTGTACACATTTTGCACTTTGCATTAGTGGTTTAACTGGACTGTCATCAGAGAGGCTACAAGGCACATATCCTATTCCAGACCATCAGCACTTCAATATTTTCGCTCTGCTCTGTTGGAACTGAAGGATATACATTAACTGCATGTTTTGTGCTTTATATTTCTTATTACCTTAATTTCTAACAGGTTACTCGTTCAGTTTCTGCCCAGCGTCCTGAACTCTATTCCCGGATAGGCCTCAATGTTTCTTAGTCCATCCTAAGAGGCCAAATTTGTAAATGAAATATGAAACTTCACTTCATTCTATATTAAAGTGTACCAGATATATGTATAGGCATTTGTTTAACCGTCATCACAAAAATTATACACGCTTTCTAAAGTTTTACAATTCGATTTTTATTCCTGCTACATGTTTCGGTTATATACATATAGTTATAGGCAGTTATATATAGGAATACGTATAGTTATTGAACCACCAATATGGATCCATTCAAGTGCAACGTGTCGTATAATATACTAACATAAAAATGTTTGTCTCAAGTTGGTGTTACAATTAAAGTAGAAGATACAAAATAAGATAAAAGTTCATTGCCTTTTTGTAATCGGTGCCCCCAGCTACGTTACCAACAATTAAGGTTTTGTCGCACATCTGTATTTTGTAATCGGTGTTTACCGTGGTTTAGTCGTTTGTTCTGTGGTGGTTTGAATCTTCGTAGCTTGGTAGTACTGCGTTGTATAACGCGGACAAAGTAATAGTTTATGGTTGTAGGTCGTAGGAAGTACTTGAATTCGTTGGTTCGTTGCAAATCGAAAACGGACCGTTTGAAAGTAAGTAATTACCGTTGGTTGAGACACGAATATACAAAACTGAAGTGTGTTACGTGTTTAGGAAAGTTTGTATGTAGACTATTGCATCATTTTCGTATTGCTTGTTATCACGTTTTTTGTGCGATTTAAAAGTGGGGTACTGTTCAAATCCAGTTATTATCATCTAATGCTTAGAGAGTTGTTAAAGGAGAACTGGCAAGGAACTTATTCTCAGCCCTTTGAAAATGTGTGTCCATCCTTCTGCATTGAAATTTCCAAACGTCCGTGTCCTGTGGTACATAAAAATTTAATGAAGTACCCATATTTCTTCGTAGCAGGTCACTTTGACACTCAGTTGGTGCATGCATGTTGAAAGTAATAATAAGGCAACTGTCTTTTAGTAACATATATATTATTTATCCAATAAGCATAAGAAAAATTCAAGTTCTGAAGCAAGTTTGACTTTGTATGAAGTCATGCATGTTAAGTAGACTGAAGTGAATTGTCATATTATAAACTTTATCCAATATGTTCTGTTTGTTACTTTCTTGTATTAAATATTCTTGTAGGTCTGTGTCTTTGTTCATTTAAGTTTTGTCCAACAATTTGCATAATCATACAACTTCAGTTCTTCAGTGTTATCTTTAGGCATGTACTGATTAAAGATAAAATCATCTTCCTTTTCAGTCATAGGCCCATCTCTCCCCACCTTCTGTTAGTACCCATATATTTTTCTCCCATTGCACTTATATTTGTGTTTTTTTTAAACCAGTGATGCTAACATTGTGTATGAAGTTGGCCGAGGGCTCCTTGACGCCTGCGATAAAAGCGTCCCTGGTTAAGTCATTGCCAGTAATACGACCATCAGTGCCGAAGTACTTGATCCGCACATTTGGCGATGATGCCCGAAGTACCTTTCAACGTGTATCTAGACGACGAACACTTAGAGAACGAGCTATGGCACCTGCTGGTGACACAGGTAAAGACAATTGGTAATGTTTAGATATGGTTGAATTCTCGTTACGGCAAAGTTCGTGGTTTCACATTTATTTGTGAACCTTTAATTTATTCTATAAGCAAGATGTTTTGGGATGACACCTACTTTACCTGAGATGTTACGTTGCTTACAGTAAGGCCAGCAGAAACTGTAAATTAATATTTGTTTTCAGAATTATTGGGTTTTTGGACCTTGTCCATCATCCAGTATTCTAGAAACTAGAAAACGTGCTTCATACACTGGCCCTGTTTCCATCTTCTGATAAATGGGATACATCTGTTCTGTGGAGTCCCTTAGAAAGAGCTAACCTCAATCATTGGACAACCCGTGCCCATATTACTGCAGCTATATAAATACCTGAGACCAGGCTGAGTTTGAGATAACAGGATAATGTACAATAAAAATTGTGATGAAGCTGCACAGACTCAAAACTAAGATAGAAACAGAGGTGAAATTTTTTTTGCAATAAATCTGTCTAACAAACGAAGACCATGAAAACTACTGCACAGGATTAAATGGAGAATTTGTGACAGTGTTTTGAGCCTACTGATAGCACCATCTGTGGAGTAAAAACTGAACACTCAGGACTAAAACCCTGTAGAAACCCCTGAAGAATTTGTCACATTGTACTGATCTTTTCTGTGAAAATTGCCAATAAGGGGATCCAGATAGGTGAAATGTCCGGACTGGGTTGGCTAATTATGTTGGTTAAGCATGCCATATGGGCCAGTTCCTTGCATTTCCTGTACCTGCTGTTACTTTCAGTTTCCAAAATTCTAGCTTCATCCCAGCCTAGCCTACAACCTTCTTCACATGCATGTTGGGCTAATTCTGATTTTTATAGAAGACCCCCTTTGAGATTGTGCCTGTGTTCACGGAGCTGCACAGCTTGAGATCTGCCTGCTTCACCAATGTAGCTTCTGCCAGATTCACAGGGAATGCTATAGATACACTCTGCTGCCTGTTGCATAAATCTTTTCGGCCTGGTTTTGTGAGTGAACTCTTAAGAGTGTGTTTAGTTTTGAAGGTCATCCCAGTGTTACATCGATTTTGTACACGTTTGAACTTCTCTGAAAACCCCTTCACATATGGGATATATACACAGAGCCCAGAAGCTTTTCCTCTTTTTCAGATGAGAACTAAGAAAACTCTGTGAAGTGAACTATATCGACTGAGCGACTGCTGCTTGTTTGCGAATTTTAGTGCCAACTTTATCAGCTAGAGGGCGTCGCGTGGTGAGCGCAACAAATCCCCATGACCATTTTGGTTTTCTAGACTGGAGCCACTATTTCCTTGAAATAGGTCTCAGTTATCATCACAGGGCTGAGTGGACCCCATTCCAGATCCACTATTTCTCAGAAAAAATCTCGTAGAGCCGTGAATCAAACCCGCACGTAGGAACTCTGACCACTAGAACACAGAGGCGGTCCAGATGAATGCTACCATTTGAATTAATAACTGGGTCAGTGAATACTTGGATAACTTCTATGCTATGCATCCTGTTGTGTGTTATTTATGAAAAGGTATAATTTGGGACACTCGCACAACAAATAATCAGAAAGAAAGAAAATAGAAACAACTGTGTTAACATTTATTTTCATTCGTTGTTGGTGGTATCACATGTTTCTACCCTTTTCTTGCATCATCATCAGGCGTACACAATATATTTGTCAGTGTAGAATAATCCTACAGACACATTATGAATTCATATTGATTAATGACACAATTCAGAAGTTAATAGTATCCGTGTATGCCTGATGATGACCCTAGAAAAATGTCAAAACATGTAGTGATACCACCAGCAATGAATAAAGACAAATGTTGACACAGTAGTGTCCATTTTTTCTTTTTGATTGGTCCTAAACTTCTAGCAGGTTCGTGTGTCATCATTATGGAGCTTATTTCTGATGACTTGTAGGGCTTCATCAGCTGGTACAATAGTGAAAAGACCAACATCATAGAAGCTAACAAAGGTATCTAGAGATTGAAGGTGTACAGACTTCAGCAACTGTACAAAGTAGCTTGAATTCTTTATGAAGGATTCCAATTTTCTAGCAAGAGGGTTCAGTGTCTTATGGAGAAAACCAGCCAGGGCATAGGAAGGGGAACCAATTGACTTGACTGTAGGCCTGAGAGGAATGTCAGGTTTATTAATCTAGGGAAGATGATATATATGTGGAGGTTTGCTGTGGTATGGAGTAAACTTATGTTTTAGATCTGTCAGAAGAGCAGTTTTGTGTTTTGAAAGGAGTTTCTGTACCTTCTCAACCATAGCTGTGGGATCTTTGGGCAAGCATTCATAAACTCTGGAATCTAGCAGTGTTCAACCTATCCTTGTATTTGGATACATCCAGTAACACCATGCAATTGCCTTTGTCTGCCTGAAGAATCCTAATGTCTTTGTTAAGCCTCAAAGATTTCACAGCTTTGAATACCTTTTGGTCATGTTAGGCATGGAAGACTTAAGACTTCTTAAATGTGGACCTGATCTTCCACTCAAAATCTATGCTTAGAGGCTGTGGAAACTTTGAAACAACATATTTCACAGTACATACCATGTCCAGATTGGAGTGAGGATTCATTACCAAAAAGTTCAAAACCCTACTTAAGGACTACTTCCTCAGAATCTGTGAGAACATGTTTTGAAAGATTAAGGATAGATTTTGTAGATTCTGAAGCTGGAGTAGACAATACTTAGAATAGAATAGAATATATGAGGGGTAGGCCTTCTCGGCCCTTGCACCGCGACCTTAGGTCTATTGTGCTTCCCCGTTTTTTAATCATTCCCTCAGCAAACCGACGCTTCGGATGAAACGCAGGATCTTGGATGTGGGGACGTCAAAATAGTTACTTGGTTCCATGAAGTACTGGCCCAAGTCACATAATCTTAAATAAGCCAATGCCTCACATTCACACAGGACGTGTGTGGCTGTTTCATCTTCTAGCTGACACCTCTCACAGGTGGGACTATCACTCAGTCCCAGTTTGGACAGGTGTCCTTTGAGGTGACAGTGTCCTGTAAGTAGTCCTACCACCCATCGTAGCTGGTTCCTGTTGAGCTTCAACAGTTCCTTTGCTCTTTTAGCTGAAGGTCCTCGTATGAGTCCCTTTGCTTGCCTGAGTCCAGTTAAGGATTCCCAGTATTCCTTGTGTTTCCCTGATTGCCTGTTTGGCAACTCCTAGAGAGATGCCACAGGCTGGTTCAGGTCCTATGAACGGGTGTTAAGCTCCAATTTTAGCTAATTGGTCTGCTGCTTCATTTCCAGCAATAACCTCATGCCCCAGCACCCATATCAGTTAGACAATACTTTGTTCTGTTGATTATTAAGCAGAGGGATCTTATGGATATGAATCACTTTCTGCTTATTAAAGATTTAAGAGAGTCTTTTAGAAAAATCAAAATTAACCCACAAAGAGGGTCTCAGGGTAGGCTGGAATGAAGCTAGGATTTTGGAAATTTAAAGTAACAGTAGGTATAGGAAATACAAGGAATCGGCCCATATGGCATGCTTTACCAATCCAATCAGCCAACTTAGTAGGGACATTTCTCCCATCTGGATCCACCTTATCAGCAGTGAGGTTACCAACTCACAGAGAAGATCAGTAAGGTTCTGTAGGTGGAAGCTGTTATAAAGTGTATGTTTGGTATTATTAATTAATATTTAATAGAGGATGAATGCATTTTTGTTTGGCGACTCCACAGCACATGTAAACATGTATAGATTTAAACTTAGGACTGGATCTGTGCATTGATTTTCAGCATTTAATATTGGGAAAGGAGCCGTAGCTGGAGGAGCAGCACTTGGACTTGGTGCACTATGCTTTTATGGCTTGGGCCTTGCTAATGAAAGTGGAGCAATTGATCGTTCCATGTAAGTGCAGCAGCTCAGTCATTACTGTTCTTTGCCGCAGTCACATAAATAAAGGAACTTTGTGTTTGGGCATACAGCTGTTCCCCAGGTTATGCTGTTTTAATTTATGTGGACTTTATATGTATGTAATTTTGTATTTTATTCAATTTTTAATGAAGATTAAAACAGCAAAATTATCTGTCTAAACAAAAAATAGTAGGATTTATAGATAGCTAGACATTAAAGTTAAATGACTTGCATGTTTTTCAATGAGCATTAAACAGCAAAACTAGAGGATTAGGCAGAAGCTTTGAGTTATGTGATTTAATGTTACAAAAACTGTTTATAATGCAACCGTTTCTTCATAAGTAAAGTTTTTAACAACTTTTGCCACCCAGACCACAGGTAGTTGTTTGATGTGATAGAGCCTTAAATGTGCCTGTACATTCATCATCCCACCTAAACCAGTGGAAGCTTAGGGGAAGGGGAAACCTGTATGATAAGGAAGGAAAGATACTGATGAGGAACTGCAGAGGACGTAAATTTCATTTCTCATTTGGGTAGAGTAGGTAGGCTGCTCACAGTTGGATTCTGGAACGCAAAGTTTCTCATAGACAAGGGCAGGATAGAGAGGCTTGTTAATGAGACCAGTGTGTCCGCTAGCTATGTCAGAAGCAAAACTGCAAGTAAAATTGGTGCAAGGTTATGGAAGAGCAGTCACATCAAGTTAGAAATCACTCATTATGATGAATGTGCCAGAAAAATGCCATTTCTGCAGTGCTTTTATGTGTGTATAACTTAAGAAATATACCGTTCCGTTAATTTTTGTTGCCATAATGAAGCCCGCATTACAAGCCATACTTATATGGCACAGTGGTGAAATATATGTCTGTGATTAGTGTGATCAAATATTAAAATTTATGTGAAGATGAGTTTAAATTTGACATGTAATACTCTGATAGTTATTTATTGCATTTGAAAACTGTTAACTTTTGTACAACTCAACTGTGAAAAACATTTTATCAAATTAATGTCTCAAAACTGGGGCCATAAGTGTGAGAAACTATGATAATTAGTTTTGAGAAGGGAAAACTGTATTCCCTGTGTATGGTGAAAGAACTTTTCTTGTTACAGTTTATGGCCTGATTACGTTCGCAAACGAATTAAGGACACGTACTTCTATTTTGGGGGTTCACTTGGTGTAACAGCAGCCACCGCTGCAGCAGCATTTCGCTCACCTGGTATAATGCGATTCATGGGAAGAAACTCATTATTAGTGAGTACTGTGAGCTACTCCTATTGTTAGATTATTGCATAGGAAATAGTTTAGGAGGGCAACTACAGCAATCGTGAAGAATTTGAGAATATTAAAATGTTTCTGTTATCAGTAATTTTGAACTGTTTTGCCTCAATACCTGTCAATGGACAGAAAGTGACACAGATCAGAAGAAAACAGATGAAAGTGTGGAAGTGAAACTGACCATAAAGTAGGTTTGTAGAAAACTGACATTTAGTGCTTGGGCCCTAGTGTCTTCATCATCAGTATCATCAGTAGCAGCATCTGCAAGGGTTGTGCTTGTTAGTCCATTCTCTCCTCAATCGTGAAAACCCCTTGTTTTTGGAGTTGGCTTGTTTGAATTCACCAGGCACCAACCTAGGTTGGATGAACTTTTGAGTATTGAATATGAATAAAGTCTCTGGGGCATGAGGCTGACCACTGACCTCCATCTAGTGCTGAGGTTAAGAATGATGGAGCTATACCACCACTCCCTTGTGTGTCTTAGGTACAACTTCAATTTCTGACTTCACTGGGAAATTACCTAAGAGCCAACTGCAAATTGTTCAGCACATCCAACAGAAAGGTCACATGCTACCTACACCAAATTGCATGATTCATGGTGCATGTTCAGGCTTGTGGTACAGTCTGGAGGCCAGTAGCCTATACACATTACAATCTATCTTTAATATTGCCCCATTAAAGCTCTAAATAGGTGCCATGAAGCAAGCTTGTGAATTACATGCCTGTTGACTGTAATTTGAAGCTAATATATTAAACTCTAAGTCAGTTTCATAACTTGTGTCAAAATGGCACTTGAGATTTACACATTGAACTGAGTGTTCGTGTATAATACCCATGTGAAAAGTAATGGGAAAATTCTCGCTTACATTTCAGGATGTTACTGTTTCACGTAGATAAGGTATTCATACAGTCAGAAGTAAATTTAGACAGACATGGTTGTTATGGGGTAAAAAAAAATCAAAATACTGGATGCTCACTGGAGAGAAGCTGGATGAAATCAATGCAAGACTTGAACATTCCATTTAAAGTCCCTTAGACAAGTTGCACATGAGACCAGAGTTCGAAGATTCACATATCATATTTTGCTTTGTTTCCGAGAAAGCACCTCAGCACATGAATGTGAACGTTTTATGGGAGTGCAGGGAAGTGTGTGTGTAACAGCAGGGACCATTTCCAGCATCTGCTGTGATCAGGAAGGGTATTTGTTTGTGATTTGGTGGTCTGTGTGTTATCAGTTGTGCTGTGGGTCTAAACATGTGCATAGACAATTGATGGGAAGATCTTGTCATCTTCCTGCTGGATGGGCCAATTTGCAGAGAACTCTCAAATAAACTCCCTGTATAAAATTATAAGGGTGTGGAACAGCCTATTAGGACTAATCCCTGATGTTCATGGTTATAGAATTGTAGGAGAATTTAAATGAATGTGGATAGTGCTTCAGAAGAATGTTTACCATGAGAAAATTAATGGAGACGTGCCAAGTACATTACTAGCCTCGACTAAATATGTGGATGAATGGATATTTTTAAAGTGACTTTGGTATTATATTGTTGTTATGTGTATATTTGGCTATAGATGGAGTTTGGATTGGTGACTGGATTTATTGGACTATTTTGACACACAGCACATGACTGCGGTCATTGCCTAGCAATGAGTCTGCATACCACAGGATTTTAAGCCCCGGTTATTGAGCATCAAGAATACAGCACAGTGAATAACCTGGAAAGCAGGCTAGATGTTGAACGTATCTGCTTAATTTCATGATGACATTAAAAATAAATTGACTGACTTGAATGATAATAGATCTTTCCTGAATTTAAGTCTCTTATTGTTGTCAGCATATATTTGTTCAAATTGATTGACTTTTCTCATTCCTCTTTTGTCATCTTTGTATTATTTTCACTTCGTTCTTATGTACATGCATTCTGACCAAAGTGAATGTTGTGAGAGGGCTTTCATTCAACAGAAGTGCTATTGTGCAATTTAACTATTCTGATTATCAGGAGAATACTAGAGTGGCTTCAGTCTAGATAGCCACTGGTCTTTGTTGCAATATAACTGTCATATACTTACATGTTGTTTCCCAGTGTTTGGCAGGAACCCTTGCAGCTGTGATTGGAAGTGGCATGGTAGTGCAGAGCATTCCTTACAAAGAAGGTTTTGGCACCAAGCAACTTGCTTGGATAGCTCATACTGCTATTTTGGGTGCAGTTGTTGCTCCATTGTGCTTCATAGGAGGTCCCCTGATTGTACGTGCTGCTTGGTGAGTTCTTACGGTTCAAGTATTGCATATAACTTAGGAAGATGTATGTATGGTCTTCTGGGTTGAGACACCTTACACTTTTGTGTTTGGATGCCAATGTTTTGGAAAAATATGTTTCCTCAGTCATAGGGTTTAAGTGTGTAGGTTCCAGGAATAGGCATGTTTTATATAGGTAAGTTACAAGGTCATGTGACTCAAGGAGAGGGGATAAAAAAAGGACTCTGGTTGAAGCCACTGGGACGCATAGGACATAAAGCAGCCCTTATAAGGGGCACACTGGGTTACCATCATAGGTGGGAAATAGAATAGTGAGAGAGAATGGACCTATCCAGGAATGCACTGTTGTTTTCCAAAGGAAAGTAGAATTGTGTCAAAATGGCCCTTTTCAGGGCCACATCTTTCTAACAGATGGGGAATTTGAACTTGAGAATTGGGAACTTAATAGTCCTTTTTCAGGGTCCCAGTGAATAGGATGTGAAGAAACAGCCCTTTTCTTTCCACACAAGCATGGTTAAAGGGGTATTGTTTGGGATGAAGTGATTGATTTGTCTTTAGAGCAGGACTTCTTCCTTTTCTTTAGGAAGTGAATGATGGGCTTCCACAGTTTGTTGAGGGAGAACCTGCCCTGTTTGTTAATATTGTTGGGGTGGAGCTTAGTCTCTGTCACTTCCTGTATGAGCTGGTCCCTGCAGTTGGATTTCTTAGCCAGGATGCTGGTGTTGTTAAGGCTGGTCATATCATATTGATGGAAAACTCAGATCCTTACAGAGGGTGATGAATGTAATTCTTCAGTGTTTGAAAGCAGGGTCTTAGGGATAATGAATGGACCAAAAAGGGAAAATAACCAATGGAAAAATGATTCACTGATAAACTGTATCAGTTATTTAGTGATGCTGATCTGCAAGTTATGGCAGGTCAGCTGAGGGCCAGACATCTAGACAGAATGAATGGTGAACCTGCAGAATATTAGCCTTTGGAAAGCCAGAAGGAAGAAGAGGCAAAGAGAGACCAGAACTCAGGTGTCTTGATAGTACAGAAAAAATCTGGAAGTACTGAAGGTCATGTAAGATTTGAAGATTTTGAACATTTCCACATCCAGCATTGAGACAGTTCACATACCTGTGAAGATAAATATCATATATTCAGACCTGTTAAGGGAAAACTATGCCAGAAAGTTGCAGGGACATATTGTGTTGAGTGTTGCGAGGTGTATGTTGGACAGATGGGCAGAGCCATTTAGACCTGGTGCAAGGAACACGTTAAGCACTTATGCTTGGACCAGCCAGAGAATCAGTGATTGCAGAACACAGATTCAAAATGGGTCCCATTGTCAACTTCAGCCATACTGCCGTACTGAATAAAGCATCACCTTTTGTGGACTGCTTAATAAAGGAGGCTGCTGAGATCAGGCTCCACCCCACAAACTTCAGCAGGGATGGGGTTTTCAGTTGCATTTGGTCCTGGTAAAAAGTAAAGGTAAAGCTATCCCTGTAACAGGCTGCGGAGGCCAATAAGGTTGTGAGATGTCGAGGCTTCTACATTTTCAAGACATTTGGCTCACAGATGGTGGTGAGGTTGTCAGCCTCATGCACTGGCCAGCCTTTACCCCTAGGAAAATTCCTGGTACTCATTTAAGTTAAGAGGCTGAGTCTACCCCAGGGTTATAGTGTGGCTGGAAGGATTAGGTCAATTGAAAAATCCAGTCACCTCCAATCACAGGCTTGTGCTGGTATATAGATGCAATTGTTTGCATCGTGTCACATCAGACCCAAATGATAGGGACAGAGATGGTCCCCGGAACATTGTTAATTTTTAACCAATTGCCACAACTGATAGCATGAAAAGAAGCAAGCAGAAGCAGAGGGTATTGGAGAAGGAGTTCTGGAAAATCTTGTTTGAGAAGGCGAGACCTAAATCAGACGTAGAGCCAGGAAGAGCATTAACATTTTTTACTTCACTATAATTGCATACTTACTTCAGCATGCTAGTGGCCCAGCTTTATGCCCCTTTTGATTTGTATTTTTAGTGTCCAGCAAGCTTGTAGTCCTTGTGGGCCCTCTGTATGTTAAAAGATAGAAAATACCCACAGGAAGTGGGACCTAAAATTATTTCCACCTTGCAGGTACACTGCTGGTGTTGTGGGTGGGCTTTCAGCTGTTGCTGTCTGTGCACCAAGTGAAAGATTCCTCAGTATTGGCGGACCATTGGCAATTGGTTTAGGTGTAGTTTTTGCATCATCCCTTGGTAAGTACTTATAGTGTAATAAATTTCAGTTACTCATTGTTACCAGTATTTTCATTATATAAACTACTGAACAGGTTGGTGGAGTACTAAGTCTCCTGACTCATATTCAGCAGGTGCCTATGTAAAAAATCTTGGCTTGCCTGACTTTTTAGTAGTTTTCCTCAATCTCTCCAGGCAAATACATGGGTAATATCTTCAGATGGAACATGACAACTCCTTCCAACAATCCTTCCTACCCACAATCATCACATTTCTAACTTATGTGTCTGATACTGTTGCACAAAGTAACCTAAAATTAAAGTCAAACTGTGGACGTGGCTTACATCTGATTCTGAAATTGAACCAGTTCGACTACAATAATGAATACAGTTGTCATCAGTATCTGCTGCTTAGCCATATAATGACATTTAACAGTTTGAATGAAATCCTTCGTGTTATGCTTTAAACCGTGTGTCTTTATGCATTGCCCTGGTCTGTATATGCCACCCCATTGTTCAGGTGTGTATTTCATCATCTCAGTTTATTACTATAAACATGAAACAGATTTCTGAATGTAGGATTAGAGGTTCTCACAGCACTAGTTACAAAATTGTCATCTTCTGGGATATAGCACCTTGTAGTCTGTATATGAACCGACGTTTCAGAGGAACATATCACCTCCATTTTCAGGGTCTTGGTTCCTCTTGGCTCACCTGCGAATCCAGGTGAGAGAGAGTAGCGAGCCAGTGGGGACTGGGCAACACCCCTTCCTCTCATCCTCTGGTCCCTGGATAATTGTTAACCCAACTGACAGCTCATTCTGCCTAGCCACCTGCTCTTGCTGGTTGCTTGCTTAACTGATTTTTGACCCTGAAGATGGAAGTTATACATTTCTCCAAAATGTTGGTTCATATACGGACTACATGGCACTATATCCTAGAAGATGGAAATTTTAAGATTTTTTAATGTCTTACCAGAACAGACACATGAAGGAAACTGATATACGAGGGGGGACCCAAAAATAACCGGAAACGACCTGTTGCACGTGCACGCTCTGTAGTTACGAGTTGTGCTGCTAGGTGGTGTTAGATGGGGGTCTCCCGCGACTGTTAGTGAGCTGGCGTCAGTCTGAGTTAAGTGGTTTGTCTGTGGTGCTCTGTTGTGTGCGTTCCTGTTTCAACCCTTTGGCGATTAGTGAGATGGCCGACCAGAAGGAACAAAGAGTGTGCGTGAAATTGATGAAGATCGTCGAAAGACCATTGACCAACTTTCTGAGGAAACGAACATCTCATGGAGCACGGTCCAGCGAATTTTAACCGAAGGTTTGCACATGAGACGGGTGTCTGCAAAATTTGTTCCTCGCTTGCTCGGAGATGACCAAAGAGAAAACCGCGTGAATGTTTGCCGCGACTTGAAGAGTGAAGTGCAGTTTTCCCTAACAGAAAGCAAAATTTCACGCACACTCTTTGTTCCTTCTGGTCGGCCATCTTACTAATCGCCAAAGGGTTGAAACAGGAACGCACACAACAGAGCACCACAGACAAACCACTTAACTCAGACTGACGCCAGCTCACTAACAGTCGCGGGAGACCCCCAGGTAACACCATCTATCAGCACAACTCATAACTACAAAGCATGCGCGCGCAACAGGTCGTTTCCCGTTATTTTTGGGTCCCCCTTCGTATATTACCATGATTGATTTGCAGCTGTGGTCATAGCCATACAAGATAAACAGTCACAGAGACACTGCATTGTAACACTTGCTGATGGTATCATTTCCTGTCCATTTATCACTTGACACAAGTTCAGCTACTGCTCATATGATCTTACAGCTGGGGAAGTTACATTTGGCCCTTCGAGAAATGCTCTGTATATCTAGTGGGCTCTGTTTCTGTTATTTGTTATATTAAGTTATTAAGTTATATTAACTCAGAGTGGTATTGTGTCTGAATATAAAAAGATGTTTTCATTTCGTGCATCCTGTTGTGTTATAGTATACAATTTCTTTATTAATATCTGTCAGAACACAACAATATCAAGGTCAAGGCCAAGATTGGAATGGCTACATGTTTCGGCTATTAAAGCCATCATCAGGCAAATACATGATTAACATATTCCCATCACTGAACTGCAGTACTGGTAAAACTGGATACATGATAATTATTACATTATAAAATGCTTGACATGAAAGTGCAATGAACTAGACTACATAAAAACGAAAGTTATAGGGTAAAACATGGTTAAGACTTCATGTCCATTCTGTAGCGAATATAAACTGTAACTTCCTACAGAACGGACAAATACATTGTAAAATGAGGCACCGGCTGAACAATTACGTAAATACTGTACTACATCCATACCATGTCCTCCAAAGCAGTTTATTACATGGACACAAAATCTAGAATATACCATTATGTCCACGGGAATATAACAAAATTGCAACAACCGACAACTGACTTGATGATATAAAACATCGTTTGAAGAGTCTTAACCTTGTTTTACCCTATGACTTTCGTTTTTATATAGTCTAGTTCATTGCACTTTTATGCCAAGCATTTTATAATGTAATAATTATCATGTATCCAGTTTTACCAGTACTGCAGTTCAGTGGTGGGAATATGTTAATCATGTATTTGCCTGATGATGGCTTTAATAGCCGAAACATGTAGCTAAGCTAATCTTGGCCTTGACCTCGATATTGTTGTGTTGTGATGGATTTTAATAAAGAAATTGTATAAAAAGAGATGTTTCATACTTAGGATCTGCTAAAACCAAGATTGCCTTACACACTTGGCTTTTTGAAAGCAGTGCAAAGGTTTCTTGGGATAATAATTTTATAGCTAAGGACTGGGTTAGGAAGGAAAGAACACTTATTAAACAGAGCAATAGATTAATTTATGGTATCATAGAACATTCAGAATTATTAGATCAGCAGAAGCAAGCTGAACTGCAGTTAGTGTAGAATTAAAGCCAACTTGATGGAGATAATCTGAATACAGTAAGATGTGAAACTAGTGATTTCTGTCATCTGCTCAAATCTCAGTTAGTTTTAATATATTTTTGGACATTATCATCCTGTCTTTATCAAACAACATTGTCCTGTTTATTTTTCAAAACATAACTTTGTTGATACTGCAGGCAGTTAGAATCTCTGCAAACCCATTATATGGGAGGAACATCATACCCTTCCATTTGAGCAGCTCAGTGATCTGTGGGAATATGACTGCAGTATGGTATTGTTTGTACTGTGGTATGTAGACCCGTTGCTAGGCAACGACCACGAAATAAGCAGCTATATAACAACTGTTGTTACGCAACACCTTTGCCAACAGACATGAATGCAAAAATTCCATGGCAACAGTTGCACTACAATGGAGGAGTGGTGTTTTGTGTGCAGTCCATGCCAGAATATCATAAACAGGACAAGTGAGGAGTCAGTGAGTTGGTTAGTGAGTAAGGTAGAGGACTACTGGAGTTCATTCATTCTGAGCTGTTGCTGTGAGAACCTGGTAGCAGTGGCTGGGGATAGTTTGGGAACCCAGAGGAAGAGGAACATCCATTGTTGAAGCCACTACCAAGCAATGGCTAGTGGAGGGTGTAACAGACTGAGAACACTATCTGTGTGTGACAGTGATTTGTAAAGTGTAGTAACAAGTTGCATTACCAGTCCAAACCCCGTCTATGTATAGTCACTCCATCACATGACAGTATTCTTATATCCTTAGATTCATAGTATTTCAGGTCTGTTCATATGATTATCTTCCTGTTTGTATTACTGGGTATTGTAGGATCAAATTGATTGTTTCCAGGTTCGATGTTTCTGCCTGCTACCACTGCCCTTGGGGCAGGTCTGTATTCCATCAGTATATATGGTGGCCTCCTGCTGTTCTCTGGTTTTCTTTTGTATGACACTCAGAGAATAATCCGTGCTGCTGAAGTTTATCCCATGTATACCCAGCATCCATTTGATCCAGTTAACGCGTAAGTAGTGTGATTTACAAATTAATAATTTTTTTCGTTACAGTTACAGATTGCCGAAACAAAATACATAAAGAACGTCAGGCATAAGAAATTGAATATCTGACATTATGCAATGTTTTGATGATACGTTCAGCTTGTACTGAAAGGGTATATGGTTTAAAACCCAGTCAGGGTACAAGCTGTCCTGAAAAAATATTTTTTTCCCCCCCTCAGTCTATCCAAATGGCAGGATTGTATCTTGACACAGGCTTCATCTGTCAACAAAACCTATACACTACATTACATGTCATTTATTGAATGCTGCGTAACCATAGTAATTAAAACTGCATTGATTACAAAAGTACTGAACTTCTCATGTTGCCCTACAAGAACATTAAACCTGTAAGAGCATATATGGTATACATATGAATTCAATAACAAAACTTATAACTATGCAATAGAAACAGTAGTCGGTGGTTTCCTTTTCTTCTGCCCATGTGGCACTCACTAGCTGCATCTTCCACACTACTCAATCCAGAAGCAATATTAAAATTAGATTACACGCTGAGGGTAGTTTCCAGTTACAGTCCATTTCAAACTCCTCTTTTTTTGGGGTTGATCATGAATTTAAGGGTAGTATATATTATGAAGTGCTTCTTGCTGTTTACTTTGAATACTGTTAATCCTGTCTTGTTTCAAAGATGCTGAAGGTCTGGATGCACAAAATAATAATTTTGCAAGGTGTTATATATGGATTTAAAACAGTAGCTCTTACTGGAAGGAAGGATATCAATTACAACTTGAGAACTGTTGATAACACACTGGCTCTCGCTTGCTGCTCAGCCGGCTTTTATTTCGTTCGCTGTTACCTGTTGCCCGCGACAACAGCGTTGTTGTGTGCCACATCACAGTAGGAAGCGGTGCCATGTCGTCGTGTTACGTCACCGCGCGTTGCGCTTTACATCACCGTGGGGAGAGTGGTGGGGCGATGACTCGCCTATTACCATAGTAACGAAAGCGCTACGTTACCGCCACGTACCGCTGGGGAGGTGGGGGTCCTCCGTTGCACAACATGTCACAATATTGTGACAGGGATGAAGTGAGCAATTTTGGGTATTAGATAAATAGGAATGTTATAATTTATACAGGTCACTTGGTTCCATTAGGACTGTGAAATCTAGAAGACTGATGGGCAAGCTATATGGCTAGGATAGGAGACATAGATTACAAACAGAATTTTAGAAAGTGTCCACATGGAAGAAACAGGAGGAAATAAAACTGTGGCATGGCTGCTTCACTGATATAATGCACCAAAGAATAACAGTTTAAGGTCCAGATTTTGTGATCACGGGGTATGAAAACTATTGAAACTTACAGCAGAATGACAGTCCAATGTGGGGTAACTCTATAAGCAAGAGGATCTTTTTTGAATGGGTGGAAAAATTTGTAGGAAGGTGGACGAATCTTATTGATGAATGTTGTAAGCAGCCATCAACTCTAAACATATGAGGATGTTAAAGGGCAGATAAAACAGTATTTCTGAGACAACTGAAGAATCAGCATTGATGAAGTTACATCTGAAATGAAGACAACCATGGAAATATTGGTGCAGTAATGACTTAAGGCCCAACCAAAATCATTTTACTCGTAGGAATCGAAACACTTTTAGACCATTAGAACATATGTATTTAAAAGCAGGGTAATTACATAGAAAAATGGGGTATTCCTGAATACTATGTAATTATTTGGTCAGAACATATCTAGAAAATCTGAAAATTGCCCTGTAATGCTGTTACTCTCAATTAGTCTTTGCTAAAAATATATGGATTCTGGTCTTTTAAAGTAGATTTCAAAGTAGATTCCTTTCAGTGGAACAAAGTAACATACCTGAAGACTTACTGTTTTTCAACAGGGCATCTTACAGGCAGTACTCATAATATAGAGACAGAGTGAAAAGACACAATAAGAAAAAAAGTGTGCTTTGACAAGATAATGGCTTTAAAGGTTCCATTGTGTTTTCTTTGCTTGCAGGTCTCTTTCCATCTACCTGGATACCCTTAACATCTTTGTGCGCATTGCAACAATTTTGGTATCTGGCAACAGGAAGAAATAAACATCATATCCTCCTCCATGTTTTAAGATGTATACCATGTTGTAAATTTAGATTCACTGTACAAAATGTTATGTTGCATTACATTTCTATTTTTTACATAATCACACAATTTAACTTGAGAACAAAGACACAGAAAAATTTCACAGTGCATAGTAACTAAGATAGTAGTTTCTCAGCTTTATTTATATATATATAGGATGTCTTTTCTGTAGAATAGTTATTATAAATTGCAGAAACATGTAAAGAATGCAGAATGTATAATAGCATTGTAAAATACTTTTTATAAATAGATTAGTGGTGTAATAAACATATCAATCTTAATCATATGTTTATGATTATAAAATATGATATTTTCACCAGACTGGACTGTCTTTAACACATGGAGGACCGATGTGTTCTTTTAGTTAAATACTGCCAGTTTCCAGACATTTTGCCAGCATTTCAGTGTTTTGCCCTTTATGTTTTGAAGTTCTAGATGACACTCCTGAATAGAGTACTGAAAAAACTGCAGTGGTTCTAATAGTACTTCACACAGTGGAGACTCTGTGAAGTGCAACAGCACAGAATTAACTTGTTCCATTGGTGCTGCCTATGCGGCCTGGTTTCTTGTCTCTCCACACTTGAACGATTATATCACATAGTATTCAATCCTGATGATGGAGGCAACATGTGCCTCTGATATGACTGTTAACTCCCTGTAGACTACGTGGCGTTATATCCCAGAAGATAGTACTCTTTATTAAAAATAGTTTGATCAACTTTGACTAAACATTAACCTTTAACGGCCAAATGTTATACGCAGCAAGCAGCAACCTGAGTTGGCCGAATGTTATATATATATATATGCGGCAGGACATGTGCTCTCTTTGGGAATGTTGACAGTTTGACCTTGGGTTTGAAACCAAAACAAATGCTCCTAAGGTCATGTCATTGGTTCATTCCTTAGCTCTGAACAATGAAATCGTTTATCATGGTACTGGTTTCGAAACTATTTACGTTTAGATATGACTGTTTATGACCTGGTCAGCCAAATATAGCCCACCTTTCTTTTGAGAACTGATGAGGAAATATTTATCGGTGCTTGCATATAAGTGCTTCCAGAGCCTTCAAGGAAGTCTGACACATTCAAGGATTGGTTTTCAGTGGCGAATTATCAGTCAGGAAGTCAGTGTCAGACTGTCATATATTTCTTTGTGTATCATTTTTATTTTGTGTCTGGGAAGAGGTATAAACCTACTGAGCCAGTATTACTTTGTGACTTTTGGTATGAGTGTCTGACTGGCACCCTTTTAGACTAGTATTATAATTACTTTTGCATCACTATTTTGCGAGTATTACTAATAGGTGAGAGTGTCGCTTTGTCAGTCAACATAATTTATTCGATTTTGCTAGAACCCCCTTCCCCCAAGACGATTCTTCAGTTGCACAAGGCGAATATCACGGTCAGTGGCGTTTCTCGGGGGGGAGGCCAAGGTTATCTGGGGCTAAACTGAGTTGACTGGAGGTGAAACATTCACAACAATGGCCAACCAAAGAGAAACAAAGAAGTGTGTTTTGCTAAATAAGAAAAGCAGGAGCACGCTCTTCTATTGTAAAATGTGTGATTTTGCTCTGTGTAAAGTGGACTGCTTCGAGAAGTGCCACGCGCATCAGTGTATCATAGTGAAGTGACGCAGTTCAAACTCGCATACAGTAATATTATTGTATATAGTGTGATTATATTTACAATATCACCCCCTCGGTGGTGGCTCCACCTTATCGTGGTGGGGGGGTTTGAGTATGCCAAGGACCCTGAGAGCTATACTGGTGGTAGTGTAGCTACTGGCAGGGCCTCCATTGCTGTACAGGTCAAAGGGTAGGCATCAGACGAAGAGAGACACCAAAAACTGATGCCGGAAGCAGCGTCATCAGCAGCGACTTGAAGCACAGATCAAATGATACTCGAGATGGTTCAAGTTTGTATAGTAACAGGCGTGACCAGAGTGGTTTGAAAAGCTGTTGTACTGCGATGTGGAAAGCAAATGGAAAAACTACCACATTATCACTTTTCCTGGATAGTCTCTTTCCAAAAACAGAGATACCATGTATGCGAGATGTTTCCTCTGGAGACAAAACAATCCAGAGGTAAACTACTCCCCCAATCGGATCCAGGGGGGAGTGTTTCTAGAGATGTCATGCAGGCGTTATGACAAGAAAAAGTGTGAAGATCAGAAGAAACATCATGGCTACAAGACTGGAACATGGAATGTAAGGACCTTGAATCAAGCAGGCAAATTGGAGTATTTGAAAACGGAAATGCAGAAGAATGAAGTGTCTGTTCTAGGTGTCAGCGAAGTGCAATGGAAAGGACAAAGTGAAATAAAAATTGGTGATTATACAGTGTATTATTCTGGGGGTGAATGGGCTGAAAGAGGTGTGGCAATAGTGGTGCATAAAAGTGTAGTGAGGAGTGTTGTTAAGAAGATTGTTTGTAATGACAGAATTATTGCTCTGAAGTTAAAGGCGGAACCGGTAGATATACTGATTATGCAAGTGTACATGCCAACATCAGAATATGAAGATGATGAAGTGGTAAAAGTGTATGACACAATTGAAGAAATTCTTCAGGAAGATGGAAGAGGTGACACAAACAGCATCATATTAGGAGACTGGAATAGCATTGTTGGAGATGAATCATATCAGGATATTGTTGGATCACATGGACTAGGAAGACAGAATCACAGGGGTCAAATGCTTATTGACTTTTGTGAAAGAAGTGGACTGATTGTTACCAACACTTGGTTCAAGAAGCCGAAGAGAAGACTTTACACATGGAAGGCACCTGGGGATTGGACGCGGCATCAGCTGGACTACATCCTTGTGAAACATTGATTCAGAAACAGTGTAAAGGATGTGAAGANTGCATTGGTCGGTAAAGTTGAGAAGATAGCAAGAAAACCATGGGTTACACAGGAGATGATGAGTAAAATGGAGGAGTGAAGGAAATGGAAGAATGTAAACAATGAAGAAGGCAGGAGGAAATACAGGAGACTGAGGAATGAACTGAAAAGAGCCACGGACAGGGCCAAAAAGGAATATCTTGAGAAGATATGTAATGAGATTATGGAATTTCAAAGAACAGGCCGTTATGATTTGATGTACATGAAGACAAAAGAACTAGGATGGAAAGAGAATCATGGGATTCAAAATGTTGGCATCGAAGACTCCCAGGGGAATAGAATAGTANATATGATGCCACTTTGTGTGAGGTGGACTGTGCATCAGAGTGTATCGTAAACTGTGAAGTGATGCAGTTCAAACTCGTGTACAGTCTGAACAAAATATTATTGTATATAGTGTGATTATATTTACAATATCACCATGATTCAAGGTTGAAGAAAAAACAACAGGTAAGTCCTTTGGAATTTCATAACATATATAATAAAGATTATATTTTGCACTTCGTAACAAAATAATCACAGTTAATTTTCGTTTGTAAAAATTGCTCTTTTGTGTATATGTAGAAAATTTTATTGTGTTTCAGGCTGTTTTTAGTTCATATTTCTATGTTGCATAGAACAGAAAATATGTATTTTTTTCTGAAAGTATGCTATGTTAATTTATTAGGGTGATTTAAATACCAACCGCAGAGGGCTACCAGCAATCTAAAAGTCCATACGTTAAAGGTTAATTGCCTGTAGAAGCATTGGGGTCAAATAATACTTTGTTGACAAAACTGCCCCAATCAAAAGGGATTATAACTATGGGCCCCGAATCAAAGTTAAATCACAATATAATTTTCCTCAAACCTGGCTTTCATACTTCTGATTACATTTCAGATTCATATTACTTATATTCCTGAATAACATTGCAGTCATCATATTTCCTAATAAAAAAAGAATCTTTCTGTGAACTCTAGTCTCTGTTATCAAGGACAGAAAAGTGTTTATATTTAAAACAGATATTCTTTTTGAAACATCTGTTATATAACAGTACCACATTTGTGGTCTATGGTCAGAGGTCCTGGGTTCGATTCCCAGCACTACCAGATTTTCTGAGAAGTAATGGGTATGGAACAGAATCCACTCAGCCTCGTGAGGTTGAGCTATTTCAAGGAAATAGTGGCTCCAGTCTAGAAAACTGAGATTAACGGTCATGGGGATGTGCTGACCACGTGACACCGCGTCCCCAAAAGTTGGCACTAACTTCTTTGACAAACTGCGGTCCCTTGGTCGGTATAGGTGGCTTACAGGCTACAGGCCATGGAGTTTGTTTTTGTTATAGAACAAAGTCTGTGTGGGTTTTGAGCTACTGATTGCCAATACCTGTATCAGAGAAAATATGCAGTAAGTCTCTAGCAATGTCAGTTTTCTGTTTTGAAACTTCAGTGACAGATGTTCTGTTACAAAAAAAAAATTGCTTAAGTTTTCCCAATTTAACAAATATCATGTACAAGCAATGAAGACATGTCTGTATGAGAAAGAATTTTGTTTGAAAACAAGAAATATACCAAATGTATCATTGCCTGTGTAGGCTAATGGAATGCACAAGTTTATGGCTGAAACAAACTACAAACTTCAAAAGTAAACAGCAGAAGAGTAGAAAGAATCTTTTGAAGGGATTTAAACTAGTTGATGTGGCATTTTATTAAACTTACTACATGAGCAGGAGGGAATATGTGTTACAAAATCTGGGGGGGAAAAAAACCCAGAATATATAATAAAGTGATACCACTGTCACATAGGACTGCTTCTAATTTGATGTCGATGTTCACCACAGAAATTACTTACTTACTTACTCATGGAGCTGAGCCCTTCTGGAGGAGCTGCCAACTCTGCAGCTACTCAAGAATTTCCCAGCATTTTATGGAACCCAAAGGTTCATTACCATGTTCACAAGAGCCTTCCACTGGTCCCTATCCTGAGCCAGATCAATCCAATCAATACCATCCCATCCTATCTCTCTAAGATCCATTTTAATATTGTCCACCCACCTACGCCTTGGTCTTCCCAGTGGTCTCTTTTACAGATTTTAAGTATATTATTTGATATTTCATCATACCCATGTGATTGGCTTGATTTAAGGGACAATATAATCTTTTCAATTTCTCTACCTGTAGTTTTAGTTATTTTAATGCTCGGAGAAAGACTCTCAAATGCAGTCAACTGTCATATAGCTCATAGGTTTGGATTTGTCATTTGGACCATTTTCTTTTATGTGTTTATGAATGTTATAAGCTACTTCAGTAAAATATTTATTGAATGTATTAACAATATCAATTAAGTTAAAAGTCTTTTTGCCTTCAATATTAAGTGTATAAATATTTTCACTATTTGCTTTCTTTAGCAATTCATTATTTATCATTCTCCAAGTCGTTTTAACTTTATTCTTTGAGTTATTAATCTGCTTATTATATGACATCTTCTTGGCTTGATCTATCACTCTTGCTAATATTTTAGAGTAATTCTTATAATAAGTATTTAAAATTGGGTATTTCCTTTCTTTACTTCATCATACAATGCCCTCTTGTTTTTACAGGATATTTTTATACCAGTTGTTATCCATGATTTCTGTTTATATTTTAGTTTTGTAGTCATAGGAAATGACTCATAAAAGTATCTCAAAAATATATTTAAAAATTTATTAAAACTGGTATTGATGTCACTATTGTTAAAAACTGATTCCCAATTTTCATAACTTAATTTCATTTTAAATTCTGCAATGTTATTATCATTTACTTTTCTTTTAATTAGTAATTCCTTTTTTATAGTACAAAATACAGGAAGATGTGCAATAAATAATTGAGCTTCATGATCAGATAATCCATTTGACATTGAGATAACCTCATAGCTAGTAAACTGTCGTTCATCAACAAAACATATTATCAATAATTGAAAATGATTTTGGTCCAATTCTAGTAGGGAAATTTATAGTAGTTCTTAGATTGAAAGAACTAAGAATATCATCCAATTTAGTTTTTCATGGCTATTGTCCATATAGTTAACATTAAAATCCCCACAGACAAATACTTTAGTCATATTTTTACACAACTTTGTAGAATTAACTCTAATGTACTCAAAAATTTATCATAATTGCCAGAGGGCGATCTATAGATGGTTAAAATACATATTTTAAGACTAACATTATTAACAGAGACAGCACAAGCTTCAATATCCTTATCATAACAAAACTTGGTCAAGATTTATATTAATAGTATTTAAGTTATTTAGAATATATATAAAAGTTCCACCCATCCGTAATGTCTCCTACAATAAAATGCACCTAAAGTATAATTGTCCAGGTTAAGATGAGGTATTTCATCGCTATCAAGCTGATGTTCAGTATAACAAAGTACATATAGTGCATGGTCTTCAGAGTGACATAATTCATTATACTTATGCTTCAAACCTCTTATATTTTGGTGAAAGATATTATAAGCATTTTTACTGGTAGTCTTAGGTTTACACTTGCTGGAAAGTTTTACCATAAAAAGTCATTCGATTTTGTTATGGGCGTTATGGGTATCTTCCTACTTCTCAAAGATTTCCGACACTTTTCTATTTTTTCACCTTTACTTTTTTTTTGGTTCTACAATCTTTGAAAAACTGTTTGTCGATATCCAGGGTTATTTCCATCCGCTGTCATTTTCAGGCCCCACGCAGTAACTAAAACATATGAGTGAAAACATTTACCAGTAATCAAAAAGCACAGACTAGTAGTACCACATGTAACCACTGTTAGTTATTTTGAAAAATGTGGTTAACCGTCGTCTGCTTCGGTGTGACCGATGCGACCGGTGTGACTTGCGTCTGCGTGACGTAAAGTTGAGGTTTTTGATTAGATATGAATGATCGACGTGACAACTGTTGTTCGTGTTCATTCGAGCAAAGCGTGCTAATGAAGTTCGATACACGTTCTTAAGCTATTGAACTGGTGATTGTTGTCTAGAACAGTTTAGGGATATAATGAACGATTTGAGGTGTATTATTTCGTAATGTAAACATGGCGGTAGTGGGTGTAATGCGCATATTCGTATTCTTTTTAACATTTTATATTTCGTTGTATTGTGCAAATTCTGCCGCTACAGATATTGAGCTTGATGCCAAAGCACAATTTACACATCGTATAGACAGTTTGAATCTGCTTTTATACACCTTTTTGCTGATTCTGACTGTGTTGACAATATGGTTGTTTAAGCACCGGAGGTTTAGGTTTCTTCACGAAACAGGGTTAGCCGTAATCTATGGTTAGTATGAATACTTGTCATAGTTTGTGTTGTGTATTGTAGAAGTAGTTATATCAGTTAACGTATTCAAAGTATCCAAAGTTGCTGAGTTAATATTTCTGAAATTTTCATGCTTGCAGGCTACTTTTTTAAGTGTGTAATTTATAGGCAGGCTCAGTCCTGTTGATGAGGGGATCATATATTTTCGGCATATTGTTCTTGTTTTAGTGAGCGTCAGTGTGCATGCTGCATTTGATATATATGTTACCAAGTCTGTGAATTTTGGAGCCAGTAGAGGAGACAGCCGTTACTAGGCAATGGCAGTAGAGATAACTAGGTCACCCCAACAGACACGAATGCAACAGCAATTGTAAACGACAGACCCACCCTTGTCAGAGAGGGCACCCCACATCAGCAAAACCAAAACTGTCTTGACAGTAATAAAAATCAGGTCTTGGGCTCCAGATGGGTGCTTGACACCAAGACAGACTGGCTGACTGACCGTCTGTTATAACTTGACTTTGGCTAAGCTGTTTAGAGAGGGTCTGCAGGCAGTCAGTTGAGATGCTGTAGCTGAGGTTAGGGACACTTCAGGAACCCACGGGAAGGGGCTTGGCCACCGTTTGAAGCCACTACCAAGAAGTGCAGTAAAGACTGTGAACAGAGAACACTAGTTTGTGTGCGATAATGATCTGTAAAGTGTAGTCACGAGTTGTGTGTTAAAGTGTCCAATAAATCCGATTACCAATCCCAAAACTGTCTATAGCCACACTCAAATACGTGACAGTTGGTGTCAGAAGTTGGACAACTCCTGATGAGTGGCAAGAGGATACTAAGTGAGGCCATCAGTTAGGCTGTTGAGCTGAAGGTAGTGGATATAGCTGGTGAAATACCCTCTAGACTTTGGCAAGCCAGCGCAGGGACATTCTGGATGGGCTGTCACCCCTTCCTCCACACCAAGAGCCCACCAACGACCAGTGTGCTGAACCTGTGGGGAGCCAGGCCACTTCTGAGTTAACTGCCCCTACGTGAGGGAGGCAGAAAACAACCAGCAAGGGAAATGAGATGAAAAACCTCAGACACACAACAACCTGCAAGAAGGTCTGAATGGCGACAAAGAAATAACAGAGGCAGACAGGAGGGATTTCCATCCTCCGGGAAACGAGCAGGTGCCGATGGAAAAGGGGGGACACCGGTGTATACATCAAGGCTCCCTCACCATGTGCTGTCCATAACCTGGTGACAAAACCTCGTGACCATTGACATCAGGGCATACATAATAGGCCAAAAGGCAGCCAAACCAAAGCTGCACGTTGCAGATGGTATCTGGGTAAGCCCTGGCCATCTTGAAGGAAGTTCTCCTGACATTGACCCTTGGGCATTGCCTACTGAAAATTTCGGTATTCATTGACAATATCACCAAAAAGTTCATCATGGGGCTGTACATCCTGTGTGCCTACAATGCATCTGTGGACCAAGGGCACAAAATACTTCATCTTTGCAGAGGAAGAGGTATCACTGTGGAGCCCCAGCCTTGCAGCCTCTTAGTGGGCAGTGATCAGGTGATACCTGCACAATGCAAGAGAGTGGTGATGGCTTGATTGGAGAGCCCTTTTGGAGTGGAAAATGGCCTGATAGTAATGAGCCCGGAGGCCCATGCACCTGAAGGACTTTGCATAGCCAGGACCTTGGTCTGAGACCCCTGGGAGGTAACTATGAGGGTCCTGAGTGCTAACTGTCATGACCAGAAGCTCATGAAAGGCTCCTCCATGGTACATTGTGAGCCAGTCACTCTGGTGACCCAACCTGATGTTGACAACCATGTGTCCCAGATATAACCCCAGAATTATAGGACATGATTGTAGCAGCCAGACCAGAATTTGAAGGGCTCACCCAGTACAGAGACATATTTACTGTGAAGAGTGAAGACTGTAGATGGACTGACAATGTACCACCATATAGATATGGGGGAAGCCTGACCAATTCCCCAACCCCCAAGTAGGCTCCCCTAGCAAAACAGGAGGATGAGGGGAAGTTCCTCAAGGACATGCAGCAGCATGGGGTTATTGAAGAGAGAGAGAGAGAGCCCCTGGACATCCACTGTCATCTGGAAGAACAGGGATGTCCACTTCTGTGTGGACTACAGGAAACTGAATGATGTCACAAAGAAAGATGGTTTCCCATTGTCCTGTATTGATGACACTCTGGATATGCTGGCTGAAGCTAAATGGTTTACCACTCAGGACCTGAAAAGTGGTTATTGGCAAGTGACTCTCCATTCTGACAACAAGGAGAAGACTGTGTTCTCGACTGATCAAGGGCTATGGCAGTTCATGGTCATGCCTTTTGGCTTCTTCAGTGCTCCAGCGACATTTAAGAAGTTAATGAGACTGTCTTTAAGAAGCCTCACTTGTGAGTCATGTCTCATGTACCTTGACGATGTGATTGGCCTCACATTTCAAGAGCATCTGTATAGCCTGTGGAAAGTGTTCCAACAGTCCCAAGAAGCCCACCTAAAGTTGAACCTGGAGAAGTGCCAACTCTTTCAGAAGGAAGTATGATATCTTGGCCATATTGTGTCACCTGAAGGAATAACCACTGACTGAAAAGCAGCCATGAAAGCCATGCAGGAATTACTGACTCTGAAGAACAGACATGAAATAAGAATCTTCCTGGGCCTATGCACATATTACCGATGTATTATTTCTGGTTTTGCCAACATAGTGACACTGCTAACCAAACTCATGAAGGAGAAGTAAGCCTTCCAGTTGACTGCAGAATTGGAGGCCGCCTTTCAAACATTAAAGGAGACCCTCTGTGCTGCCCCTATTCTTGCTTATCTGCAGCCAAGATAGAGGTTCATCGTTGACACAGACATGAGTAACGCCACATTGGCAGGGTGCCATCCCAAGTACAGGATGGACAGGAGGAAGTAATAGGCTACTATAGTATGGTGCAAAATAAGGCTGAGAGAAATTAGTGCATCACCCAGCAGGAACTGCTTGCCATTGTGAGAATGCTGGAACATTTCCATAAGGACCTCAATGGACAAGAGTTCCACCTGCGCACTGACCATTCTGCATTAAGATGTCTCATGATTTTTAAGAACCACAAGGGACAAACAGCCTACTGGATTCAGTGCCTACAAGAGTACCACTTTGTTTCCAAGCACAGTCAAGGCCAAAAACACAACAATGGCAATGCCCTTTCGCGATGACCATGCAGAAAAGGGTGTACCCACTGCCACAAAGTCAAGCCCAGAGCAGATGTCAAGCAGGTATGAGCTGTTGTGGCTATAGCTGCATCTGGCTGGGATGCATAGGGCCCATCTGGAGGAAGTAGAGATTGGAGAGTGCCCAGAATGGAAAGGGCTCACCTACCGCAGCCCCACATATAAAAGCTACTGGATTCAGTGGAAATCTATCACTGTGAGGAATGGCATAGTAGAGCGCCATTAGGAATCTGCTGACAGATGATGAAAAATAGCTTCGTTCTCCCTTGTAGCAAAGTGAACAACATGCTCACCGAACTTCGTGGTGGACCATCATGTGGTGACTTGGGTGTCAGGAAGACCCTTGATAAGGTATTACTTACTCTAGGCAAGAAACGCTGTGGAGAAGTGGTGCCAGCGGTGCAACACCCGTGCAGCCAGTCGTGGTGTCCGAACCAGGAATGTGGGCCAAATTCATCATTACAATGTCAGAGCCCCATTCGAAAGGATAGCCTTCAGTGTAGCAGGGCCCTTCCTATGGAGGGACCAAGGAAACTGAAACCTCCTGTTGGGTTATGAAATGGCCAGAAGCCATTCCAAACCAAGAGGCTTCTACAGTGTCAGAATCCTTCTATTGTAACCTGTCAGAGCTCATTATTTCAGGATAATTTTTCCCTCATGCTATATAAAATATGTTAATATTTGTGCTTCATTATTGGTGCCTGATCTATGTGTTAGGGGCAGTGGACAGAGCAAAGTTGTTAAATGCCCATTCTAAAGATGGAGCCAGGATATATATCTGAAATGTTGGAAACACTGCCCACATCCACACGGTTCAGAGACCCAAGAGCAGATGCAGCAGTAGCCGTGAATGACCATGAAAGCTTAAAATTAATTATTACACGTTTTATGTACATTTAAAATTTGGTCTCTCACTCTGAGGGAAGTAAGGGATTCAGGATGTTGGAGAATGAAGTGCTGAAGGTGAAATGTAAACCTAAGAAGGCTGAAGTAACATAGGAATTGATAAAATTGATTGAATAAAAATGATGTCATTATCAAGACTGGCAGGACATGTTGCATATAGTTGAGAGAAGAGAATGTATGCAGAAGAAGGAAAGAGAGAATATTATATGACAAGGAACTTTACAATAGTACGTTTTGCCTATTATTGGTAGGTGTGTAAATCAAGGAAGAAGAGGTGTAATACACGGGGAAATATGACATTCATATAAAACTTGAAGAACAGAGGCTGTTTGGGAAATGTTGGAAAAGTGGGTTGCAAAGATATGAGCTCAGGATAAGAATCCAGTGTCAAGTGTTATGGCAGTGATCCTGGTGTTGCATAAAGGTAGGGAATATTTTGATCAGACGAGTAACTACCAACCTTTCAAGGAAGATGTTATAAGTTGTGTATGAAGAAAGTAGAAAGTTGAGGATGTAACAGTGGAGCACCCATTTGGTATTACCTCTTTTAAGGTTTCTTTCATTTAAGGTCATATTTCAATGATGTAAATTTAACAAGGTAAGTGTTACATTTTCTCCATATAAGGTTTCGTTCATTTTAATGTTCAAATCCATTTTCCCCTAGACAACAAATTTGAAAGAGTAAGTAGTGATTTCACTGCACTTAACTTCTTAATGTAGAAGTTACAGGCCAAGGTATCAAAGGTTAACACTCTAACCTGGGCTATTGAAAGTGAAGCCATAGTTTGAAGTCAGAGAAATGCTTGTGTTCTTTTCCAGGTTTGGTTATGGAAGAATTGATTTGCCAAGATGCATACATGTTAGTCAGACTAAAGAACAGCAAGTACAGTTCTCATCACCCTCATATGTTGGGTAACTTCTTTTTTCCTGTTTGCTGCAGGTCTGATTGTAGGAGCATTGATTCGGTATGCAGGCAGCAAGACACCTGTACTTCACATGTCTGTCACTCCCGAAAAGGACAGCAAGTACAATCTCTCACTGCCACCAGACACCCTGTGGCTTCGCTTTCCTAACAGAGGTAGTAACCCACCTCTACCCAACAAGACATATGCATATGCTTTCCGGGAGGAGATTGTGGACATCGAGGATAATGAGATGGATCTGAAAGCAACTTTTGATCCTGAGATATTCTTCAATATTATTTTGCCACCAATCATATTCCATGCTGGTTACAGCTTGAAGCGGGTTAGTAGTGATTCATTTATTCAGTCTGTGTTATTGTCTTCTCTAAAGGTTTGGCTGTATGTCTATGCAGTTACTCTAATCATTGGCAATAAACTTCAGAAATATAGCAGAGTTCAAGATACTTAGGAATGCCTGTCTCAGCACCAGTGGGAGTTATTTTAACAGCCCCTACTCCTCAGAATAATCCTCAAACTGGTTTCCTTTGAATAGCCTTCATGTGAATTGTATGCACTATGAATGAATCATGAAAGGAAAATACGATTTTCTTAAATAACCTGGCGCTTTAAAGGCAGTACTAAAAAGTAATACAGTCAACTCTCGATTATCCGGGGGCGGATTAACCGGTTTGCGGCTTAACCGGGGCTTTTTTTTTTAAGTTTATATGTTGTTTAATATTCATTCACTTTTGTTTCACATGGTGAGTTTAACACTATTTTCGCACTAGTGTGAACCGAGCTCTGCATTATTTCGTCCCGTTATGCGAACACAATGTTCTAGGGTGGGGGTGAAAGAATGCAAGAATTTTTGGAAAGTTTCAAGGACAAATACACCGCCCCAGGTTATTTAACGGTACCATCTCAGTGTGAGAGTGCATTGTGAAAGTAAGTATCAGTTTCTTAATATAGATCTTCAAGTGCGTTAGCAAAATGTCGGGGTTTAAAAGGAAGCGTGTTGTGTTAAGTATTCAACAGAAACTTGAAATTATCAATCAGCTGGAAAAAGGAGCTGTAGTTAAACAATTAGCAATGCAATACGGTATTGGAGAACAAACTGTTCGTGATTTGAAAAAACAAAAGAATGAGTTAATTTCCTTTGCTTCGTCTTCTAATTCAAGCGGAATGAAGAAGAGAAAAACCATGAAGAAATCAACATACGATGATCTCGACAAAGCGATGCTGACCTGGTTTAATCAACTAAGGGCACAGGGAACAACAATAACAGGACCAGTTTGTGCTAAACAAGCTAAATATTTTTTCGAAGCACTTGAACTAGAAGGGAGTTTTGACGCTTCTTCCGGTTGGCTAACACGTTTCAAGCAGCGTCATGGAATACGAGAAATCAGTATTCAAGGTGAGAAATTGTCAGGGGACTTGTCAGCATCAGATCAATTTTGCACCAATTTTGATAGTTTTGTGAAAAGTGAAAATCTGCTGCCAGAACAAATCTATAATGCCGATGAAACGGGTCTTTATTGGAAATGCTTGCCAACCAGAACATTGGCATTTCAAAATGAAAGACAGGCTCCAGGTCACAAATCCAGTAAGGAGAGATTGACAGTCTTGTGCTGTTCTAATGCATCAGGAACACACAAACTAATACCAGTAGTTATCGGCAAAGCGAAAAGACCACGCTCTTTTAAAGGAACAGTAGCTTCAAGTCTGCCTATCCATTATTTTAACCAGAAAGTAGCTTGGATGAATAGAGCGATATTTAAAGAATGGTTTGATTTTAAATTCGTGCCTCAAGTTCGTGACCATCTAAAATCCCAAGGCCTACCTGAGAAAGCTGTGCTCCTCATTGACAATGCGCCCTCACATCCTAACGAAAGTCTCCTGAGGTCAGATGATGGAAATATTTTTGTGAAATATTTTCCCGCTAATGTTACCGCACTTATCCAACCAATGGATCAAGGAGTTATCTCAAGTATGAAGAGAATCTACAGATCAAATTTGCTACAAAAGTACATCGATGAAGGCAATGATCTGACGTGTTTCTGGAAGTCCTTTTCAGTATTAGATGCCATATACGAGATTTCAACAGCGTGGGATACAGTAAAGCCATCTGTATTGAAAAATTCATGGAAGAAACTGATGCCTTTCATCACTAATGAAGATGACGAAATCCATGGATTCACTGGATTCAGTGAAAATGAGATAGCCATAAAATTGACAAAAGTGGCTAACCAAGTTCATGGTGGTGAAGAAGTCAACGAGGAAAATATAAGAGAGTGGTTTAACTGTGACTCGTGTGAACCGGGCTTCGAAATGTTAAGCAGTGACGAAATCGTAACTTCAATGGGGGTGCAGCCAGAAGAGCGGGAAGAAAGTGAGAATGAGGAAGAGGTGGACAGTGTTGCCAGTAAGAAAGTATCACATGGTGCTGCGCTTAATCATTTGGAATCCTTACTAGACTATCTTGAGAGTGAAGAGGACAGTTTATTAAGTGACAAGCTAATATTACGTAGGCTTCGTACGGATATCCGTAAAAAGGAAAATGCCGCGAAAAAGCAAAAGACAGTATTAAATTATTTTAAGTGTTAAGTGTGACCGTAAAAAGTGCTGGATGTTGTTGAACAGTGATTGAAATAACTAATTCATACTGAGTGTAATGTAAAGAAAGTATTAAATAGGCCATGAGATGACATAGAAATGAGGATGAATAAATTTAAATACAGGTAGGTCTATAGTATTATGAAGGTATTAAAAGGTAAAAGGTAAAGTTGTTCCTCTGCTCAACGAATTAAGCCCTACGCCATTAAGGCGTGTGGGGGAGTGGATGTATAGATCCAAATTTTCTTGACCTCGGCACTAGTTGGAGGTGAGTGGTCAGCTTCACGCCCCGGCCGCTTTACCCCCGGGGAAAGAGCCCCCGGTACCCATTGGATAGGAGGTTGGATGGACCCCAGAGCCGGTCTGGACGATTTGGAGAAGTTAAAATTCTTGACCCTACCGGGACTCGAACTCCGACCCTTCACAGTCGTCCAGCCCGTATAATAAAATTTGGCTTAACCGGGTTTTCGATTAACCGTGACTTCCATCCCCACCATTAGCCCGGATAATCGAGAGTTGACTGTATGTACTTTTATGTTTTGTTTTTAAATCCCCTGATAACATTTTAAAATGTCTAATTCTTAACCATGAAGGTTAACATGGATTTTTTCAGACATCTGTCCTTCATGTGGTGGAAAAGAAATTTGTTCTCATTTGCACTTTTCTTTTTCAGAAATACTTCTTCCGCAACCTCGGAGCTATCCTGACATATGCTCTGATTGGCACAACCATCTCTTCATTTGTTGTGGGGTAAGACTTTTGCTGAAAAAGATCACAGGATATCCTTTTTGTTGGAATAAGCATTTTCAGGCCTTGGCTTGATTAATTTGTCAGTGAAGATTGCCATTATACATGGATTTTCCATAATCACATTTGTAAAGGCTGCTGTCCTTTCCTGTATGAGTGCTACTGATTTGAGTCATTTCAGATACTTTGGGTTTTGTAGTTGGAAGAAATGTGGTATATTTCTTTTGTGGTGTCATATATCTGCTTACTCATGGAGCTGAGTCCTTCTTGAGGAGCCACCAGTTCTGCAGCTACTAAAGAACTTTCAAGCATTTTATGGAACCCGAAGGTGTCTTGTATCTAATATCAGAAAAAATTTTATATGTTTTTGTTTTCCGTTGCATATTTATGAAATATGAATGATGAAGATTAATTCAGTTCCATGCTTAATATGATCCAGTGATGTGTGTTGAATGGGTGTCTGTAGTAACATACATGAACAGCCTAACTCATTGGAATTATCAATACATTTTTCATAAAACATTCTGAAATTTGAAAATATGTGAACTTCTTTTCTATCACTGTTCTGCAGTAACTGATTATTAAATAACAATCCATAGTGATAACAGTTGGCTTCAGGATATAAATTTGTCTTTATGCTGTTAATATTCAAGAAACATGCTTTTTTATATTTTATTTATGAACGTTATATGTTATATATGTGAACCAGGGTATTACTTTGGCTACTTCTGGAAATACGAATGAAGGAAGCTAGTTTCTTCACTTTTATTTTCTTTGTTTAGGCTGTATGTATTCAGTTATTCGGTATAGAGGGGGTGGGTTTCCCCATGCACCGCGACTAATAGTCTATTGTATGTCCCCCTTTAATTTCTGATGTCTCCATACCCTACTGATACTGGTGCCCGCTATCTCCCCTTTCTGCCAGCGAGGTCGGCCCTCTACTGGCAGTGATACCCAATAATTCTCCCCTTTCTGCCAGTGAGGTTGGCCCTCTACTGGCATTGGTACCCGATAACTTTCCCATCTACTGGAGGCATTGGAAACTACTTGGGCGGGAAACATTTTGGCTAATTTTGCTCAGAGGTCTCCTAGACACATGAGGATCGTTTACATGCTGTAAATCTACGACACGGGACTCACAGCTTAAAGTCCCTCCCGGAGGACTTGTTCCCTGAATTTTTCTGCCCTTAAAAATTCCACGACCTCCACCGGGTTTGAACCCGCGTACCTTGAGTCATGAGGTGGGAACGTTACCCCTAGACTGCAGAGGCCGCTTAGGCTGTATGTAACTTGCCAGTCATCCCTTTATGGAATTTTCTTGCACAATGATCCAAACTGAAGGCCTGATCACTGTCTCCACCATGTTATTTAAATGTCTTATTTCTCTCCGCAGAGCCCTGATGTATGGCTTTATCCACCAGATGCCAAACCTTAAGGGCAGCTTCACTTTTTTGGACACCTTATACTTTGGTGCCCTGATTTCCTCTACAGATCCTCTTACAATCTTGGCAATTTTTAATGATCTGCATGTGGATGTGAACTTGTATGCACTGGTGTTTGGAGAAAGTGTCCTGAATGATGCAGTAGCTATTGTTCTTAGTGGGTGAGTTGGTGTAGACTGGTATTTACGGGAAGTGTTTCTAGAAGTCATAATTATTAGTGTTTAATATTCCTCTCCTTTGTGAAATACCTAATGGGGTTAAGGTAAATTTAAAGTTGGCCTGTGCTTAGTTAATTAAATGCTCTTCCATGAAGACATATGGTAGTTGAGGTGTAGCTCCACCATTCTTGACCTCAGCTTTGGATGGAGGTGAGTTGTCAGCTTCACGCACAGGCAACTTTACGCCTGGGGACATCATCCCCAATACCCATTGGGTAGGAGGCTGGGTGGACCACAGAGCCAGTCTGGACGTTGTGGAGAAAAGAAAAATCTTGCATTTGCCAGGATTCAAACCCCAGTCATCCGGCCCATAGCCTGTCACTATACCGACTGAGCTTTTCCGACTTCTGTTACATAATGGGGACTTAACACATTCATTGACAGATCAATTAAATTATAATTTAAACATGAGAGCCAAGCAGCTGTCTGAATAAAGACCAGTATAATTATTTTAGTCAAAGAAGCAAATGTGTTTATTTGACCATATTTTAAAAATTGGTTCATACATTGTAATAAGGTCCTGGGGCAGTTGGATGAACTTTTTAGAAAAAAATGTGAAATACTTGGTAACTAAGCTAAGACAACCTGTCTATGGCACAAGGAAAGATAGCAATGGAAGTGAATGTGCTAACCTAATGCAGAGTATGGTAGTGATTGTAAATGTATTACAATTACAAAATGTTATAGCTCAGAGCTTAATTGTCTGGATAGCACTTCTGCTTCATGTTTAGAGGCCCCAGGTTAACATTGCAGACTGGAGAGCTGCTACCCTGATAGAGACTTTTTATGGGTTTCCTCATTCCCTCCAAGCAAATGTTGGGATAGTACCTCAAATTTGAACATGAGTCTTCCTTTCACGTCCTTTCCTTCCCTAGATCCAGAGTTAGTCAAAATGACCGTAGGATGTGAAATATGTCATATAGATAAATGATACAAATTCCGTCCCAAGTGCAAACCATATATATTATATGTCTTTGATCTTGTTCTTTCTACACTACATGTTTCGGCCTCTATCGGCCATCATTAGGTGTATACTCTTAACGTTGCTGCCACACTGAACCCGGTCTAAAATTTAACATTTAAAAACACAATGTCACATTCTTCGTATTATCAACATCTACATCGTTGATATGTGTCTGGTATGTAGATTATGTTGCACATGTCCAATTTTGATGTTCTTGTAGTAGCACTTTAAAAATCTTTAGTTATGATGTTTTTAAAAACTTTTTAAAATTTTCTCTAAATTTTAAATTTAAAATTTTTTAAACTTTTTTAAAATTTTCTCTAAACTTTAAATTTAAAATTTAGAGAAAATTTTAAAAAAGTTTTTAAAAACATCATAACTAAAGATTTTTAAAGTGCTACTACAAGAACATCAAAATTGGACGTGTGCAACATAATCTACATACCAGACACATATCAACGATGTAGATGTTGATAATACGAAGAATGTGACATTGTGTTTTTAAATGTTAAATTTTAGACCGGGTTCAGTGTGGCAGCAACGTTAAGAGTATACACCTAATGATGGCCGATAGAGGCCGAAACATGTAGTGTAGAAAGAACAAGATCAAAGACATATAATATATATGGTTTGCACTTGGGACGGAATTTGTATCATTTATCGTATAGAGTGCAACAGGATGCTTAAATATAATAATGTCATATAGATGTAAACACATTATGACACGTGGGCTCAAAGCCAGAATTATGGATCGAGAAGGAACATCCATTACTAGGTTATGACACGTAAACACATCATGGCAATATAAAGCGAACATTCATTATTATGCAGCATTTAGTAAACATTGCGTGACCTTATATGCTGTACTAGAATGACAGCAGATGCTAGAAACATCCAGAATTTTGCCAGTGTGAGCACAGTAAACTGATTTTCATGTTATGTCAGGTATGACTTCTTGTAGTTTTTAATTTTGCTTAGACACCAGTAATTGATGACTGTGGAAAGTAAACATTTAATAGATTATAATTGTATCACAGTAAGTGTAACATGAACTAAGGACAAATGCATTTAAAAAAAATTCTTCAAGTTACTGAGTTCTGTGATGTCAGTATGGTGTACGGGTTCTGATGTCAGTACACATTGTATCTCGTCACTCTTATTTGCAAGCATATCACAGTCTTGATTCTGTTTAAATCAGTTTTCTAAAACAATGTCAGACGTATTGTCTGTAGTTAGCTGATTGTTTTTGTCATCTTGTTACTGAACGATATCCGTCTGATGCATATATTCAGGCATGTGGCCACCTGGTTGTAAAATGTCTTAATGTTTGTAACTGTTGTGTAATCTGACTGTGTGGATCATTAATGTGTGTTTAAATGTGTCCAGATCAATACAGAACTATGGAGAACGTTACCAGTCAGGAACAGGTGGTTTCGAGACGCAAGCCTTTTTCCGTGCATTGGGTGACTTCTTTGGCATTTTCACCCTCTCTCTCTTAATTGGCGCACTCATGGGCTGTATCACTGCTATCATATCCTTTTAACAGCAATATACAGAGTGTGTCTTTTGCATCTATGTAGTATGCTGAATGCCTGTTGATGTTACATTTTCATTTTATATTCTTGACCATTTAGTTAACAGGGATTAATATTTGGTCAGAGTTTCTATTTTCAACTTCTATGAAATGTTCTGTGGAATGCAGTGATATGCATGTTGTGCATCATCAGCTGAAGTATTTTTATATAGCTCCTTACGGTAAGCATGCACTGCTGCAGTGGCCACTAAATCTTTGGCCTTGCAACAAACAGTATTCCTTCACCAAATTACTGTGCTCTAGCCATATATGCAATATGAAACCTAGTAGGATGCTGCACACTGGAAGTACTGTTACTTGGTGTTGTATCAGAGTCTCCAGTCACATGTGAGGTCTGATTGGAAAGCACTGAGGCCCTATCTTAGTGAAAATACTGTACTTTCAAGGATGGGAGGTTAATTTGCTGAGGAATTGTTTCCTTAAGCATGCACATGCTTATTCTAGTGTTCCTGGCAATGCTGAAAGTAGCTCGCAAGCTCAGTAGTTGCTTTGTTGCTTCATTTAGTTTATTCCAGAGCATCAGACCTTTTGCCTTTCAGTTTTTTGTTTCATTGCTATGTTTTATGTAACAAAAGAAAGACAAGGGAGCCATATTAGGTGATAAAGGGGGTTGTGTTACTTGTGGAATATTGTGTCTAGTTAACAGGTACCTTTATCTAGTCTGAGTGAGCTTCTGTGTTGTTACAATTTACTGCACTGGAGATTTCTTGACGCTTATACGAGTATATAGAAAGGTTAGTTAAGATTCTGAATTCTTAGCGTGTGTTCATCGTGCACAACACTTGCATAGCCAAGATATCAATCACCATCACTTCAGTTTTTCTGCAGACTTGGTATGCTTTTTCATAATCAGTGTGAGGAGGGGATTTCTGTTTTGATGGCTATTGCTTAGTTTCAGAGTAGTAAATGTACTCCAGTGTTTCATCTTTTGTTATAAAATTTCGTTGAGAAGTTTTGATTGGTTTGTGGACATTTAAACAAGCCAGAAGCCACTCATTTTACAGTACCTCACACACTGATGCTAGCGATATTTTGTTTCTAGTTTCTAGTGATCTTCACTTTTGAGAATATCCCTTAAAACTCATGATTGGTTCATTGTTGCTCTCCAGAAATTATTTTAATAACTTGGTAAGCCTTATGTCTTCTATATTTTTATAGCACATAAGTTCATTTACATACATTTGTCTGTACTCTTGAGCATCATTGTATTAGTATATGACAAAATTGCTCTTGACTTTATATGCTGACCATTGAGGATAGATTTAATAATGGAGTGTGCTGTAAAGAGTCCTGACATGCAATAACATGTCAGGATACATTCATTCCCCTGACATCATTGTACAGTGTAATTTATTTTAGAGGGATTCTGATCAGACCTGATATACGTAGGCGAGTCAAATGAAAACCTTAAATATTTTTAAGTATTATTTATTGTGCACAAGTGGTACAAAGCTGTATCACTTTTCAACATAATCTCCCCCACGCTCAATGCAAGTCCTCCAGCGCTTACAAAGTGCATGAATTCCTTTAGAAAAAAATCTTTTGGTAGTCCGCGCAACCACTCATGCACCGCGTGGCATACCTCTTCATCAGAATGGAACATCTTTCCTCCCATTGCTTCTTTGAGTGGTCCAAACATGGAAATCACTTGGGACAAGGTCTGGTGGGTATGCCAGATGAAGAAGACACTCAAACTGCAGGTATTTGATTGTCGCAACTGTTGTACGGGCAGCATGGGGCCTTGCATTGTCATGTTTCAAAAGGATACCTGTGGACAGCAGTCCACGTCGCTTTGATTTGATTGGAGGCCGAAGATGATTTTTTAGGAGATCTGAGTATGATGCACTGGTGACAGTGGTCCCTCTAGGCGTGTAGTGCTCCAAGATGACGCCTGTTTCATCCCAAAAGAGAGTCAGCATAACCTTCCCTGCCGATGGTTGTGTTCGAAACTTCTTCAGTTTTGGAGATGAGGAATGGTGCCATTCCTTGCTCGCTCTCTTCATTTCTGGTTGGTGGAAGTGAACCCAGGTTTCGTCCTCAGTAATGATTCTTGTAAGGAAGTCATCACCTTCTCGTTCAAAGCGCTGCAGAAGTTCTTCACAAGGATTGATATGTCGGTCTTTCAATTCAGGAGTCAGCTGCCGTGGCACCCATCTTGCACACACTTTGTGAAACTGGAGTACATCATGCACAATGTGGTGTGCTGAACCATGACTAATGTGTAAACTTGCTGCAATTTCATTCAATGTCACTCGGCGGTTTTCCCTCACTATGGCTTCAACTGCTGCAGTGTTCTCTGGAGTCACAACTCGATGTGCCTGACCCGGACGAGGAGCATCTTCCACTGAAGTCACACTATTTGCAAACTTCATACTCCATTCAATTTCAATAAATTTCAATAGGTTTCACACCTTCACTACACAAAAACCAAATGACAGAATGCTATTCTTCCCTGGTGCAAGTCTCAAGTGGGGCAGCCATCTTATACTGGTGCTGTGACGGTGTTCTTGCATCTGCACTATGCTGCAACCTACAGGCCATTCTGCACACTGTTTGTAGCACGCTTACCAACTTACAGGATAATGGCGTGAAATTTCGATTTTTTATTACAAATTTAAGGTTTTCATTTGACTCGCCCTCGTATTAAATACACAGCTTCTGCGGAAGTAATTGTTGTTGTGGAAACATCAGTATTGTAAGTAAGTGCTGTATAGATGTATGTAAGTACATATATGCTCTTTTAATATGGCGATTTGTGGACTATTCATGATATTAGACTCTAATGGGAGGTACATAATGATTCTCCTTTAAGAGTTACGTAGGGTTAATAATTGGTCATTGCATTTATTGAAACTTGGATATATATCCTTAACAATTCTGCACTTAACGAAGTTTACACATGTGCGTGACTTTCCACTGCTAGAATCAGCACTATTTGTGCTTATGTCATATAGCACATTTCTCATAGCCGAGGCTTCAGAACTCACAGGTACTGTGCACTGTTTGTTGCCATATTAATCCATATTACTCTACTATTACACAAATCTTGGCATTTGAATTATTTTATTTGGATAGATTGTCTGGTTGGCTGCAGTATGGCAGTTTCTGCCATAGAGTGGTTGTAAAGTAAAAAAGTAAAGCTATCCTGTACCAGGGCGTGAAGGCCCATAGGGTTGTGAGACGTTGAGGGTCCTACACCATCTAGACAATCGGCTCAAAGGTGGCGGTAAGGTTGTGAGCCTTACGCGCTGGTCGCGCTTTACTCCCCAGGAAAATTTAATTAATTCCTGGTACTCATTTCTGTTAGAGGCTGAGTAAACCCCAGGGCCTAGTGAGGCTGGTAGGATTAGGTCAACTGAAGAAAATCCAATGACCTCATCGGGACTTGAACCCGCGACCTTCCGATCAAGGCTTTATTTTATTTAGATAGATTGTCTGGTTGGCTGCAGTGATTTTGGCAGTTTCTGCCATAGAGTGGTTGTAGTCAAGGCATTATTTTATTTGGATAGGTTGTCTGGTTGGCTGCAGTGATTTTGGCAGTTTCTGCCATAGAGTGGTTGTAGTCAAGGTTTTATTTTATTTGAATAGATTGTCTGTTTGGCTGCAATGATTTTGCCAGTTTCTGCCACAGAGTGGTTGTAGTCAAGGCTTTATTTTATTTAGATAGATTGTCTGGTTGGCTGCAGTGATTTTGACAGTTTCTGCCATAGAGTGGTTGTAGTCAAGGCTTTATTTTATTCAGATAGATTGTCTGGTTGGCTGCAGTGATTTTGGCAGGTTCTGCCATTGAGTGGTTGTGGTCAAGGCTGTAACTAAAGAAGCTATTGACAATTTTATAAATTATGTAACCATGCCTTTTCATGTTCTGTGTGACCATAAATTGAAGATAATATAAATATTACATTTATAATTTTGTATGATGGTAAGAGTTGGCTTTTATTGATACTGAAATGGTGTATGATAATATAAGTAATCTGGAAAGCATTCCAGAGAGCAGATCTTTCTAAAGTAATCTAGAGAATAAAGAACATTTATGGATACTGCCATAAATGGCAAAAAATATGAATGTTTTTAAATTTTTTGAGGGATATCCTGTGTTGTTGAACATGGTGAGGGATGAGGTAATAAGAAGAGGACTGGAAGGACAAGAGAGTGGGATACCAAAAACTGTGTTGTGTGCAGATGACACAGTTATCTGAACAAAGGCACAATAAAAACAAAGTATTTTATTTTTACATTGTGTACAGATTTTGAATTATATGTTGGTTTGGATAAATGTGTAGTTATGAAAGTAACCTGAAAAATGTGAGATATGGAAAGTGCACTGGAAAATTGGAGTGAACTACAACAATGTTATATTTATCTTTATAGGTGTAGTGGCAGTACTATTCTGTGGGATTTGCCAGGCTCACTACACATACAACAATCTGTCAGCAGACTCCAGGTCAAGGACCAAAAAACTTTTTGAACTGCTCAATTTCTTAGCAGAGAACTTCATTTTTTCATACATTGGAGTGTCAATGTTTACATTTCCTAAACATCATTTTGATCCTGGTTTCATCTTTGCAGGATTTGTATCCTTGAACAATGCATTAAATATGTATTTAGTGGATGTAATACACCCATCCTGCTATATATGCAAACTTGCCATTTACGATTCACTTATATGCTGTCAGCCACTTGACAGGATATTACTGCAAAGTTTCTTTGAAAGTTTTAACTGTGGTATTATCTTCATCCGTATTCCTGTTCATCTCAAGAATATATTCTTTGCGAGTGCAGAGGGATGGGTGTGTTGAAAACACTGTACGATACTGCAACCGATCTTCAAGTCCCATTGAAACTTGTGGGAGGTGAAGTTCCACTTCTTTTAATTCCACACATGACTCATGACAAATATGATAAATACTCAGAACTGTTTAGTATAACTTTTTAGAAAATGGAAAACAAGTATGCACTGTCACAAAATGTTTCAGTTTGGCAGAAGATTCTGACTTGATGCCTTGATGCATATTTGTTGATAAAATCATGTGTACAAATTTTGTTTAAAACCTTTTGTTTTTTATGATGTAATGATATGTAAAATAATGATACTTTAGGAAAGTGACATGGGGTTTGTTGTCTGATTTATCTTGCGATCAGTTCACCGAAGGAAAGACTGGTGTGAGAAATGTTAATCCTAGGTAGTAATTTGGATAAAAATTATATTTATGTAAGCTTTATGATTTTTTTATATCCTGGTTTTCGTGTCCTGACAAGTAGTATAATAATTTCTGAAGACATTTGGGCATTGTTTCTTGGTATTTGCCTGTCACAGACTTCATATATACTAAAATGTACAGCCCAGTAGCAGTTCTGGACATTGTTCTCCAGTGTACTTTGAACATGATTACAATAACTGAGCACTAAATATCTTAAATGAATGATTCATGTTATAAGATGACTATAATTGAGTCCAATTCAGAAACTTTCTCACTAATTCTGGAGGAGCTGCTAATAGCTGGACGATACCCTCTTCCGGTATGTGATAGCATGTAGTTTGGTAGGTAGATAACAATATTTTGGTAGAATCTCCCACTTCCATCTTCAGATACCCTGAAGCTGGAGGCAGCAGGTTCATCTTAGATGTTATTACCTGCCTGTGACAGCAAATGGTATCACATCCTGGAAGACTGGCATGAGAACTTTGATTTCATATAGTGCCTAGATGTTAGATGCTGTACCTGACAGGTACTACAATGAATTATGATTCCCACTGCCACCACTACCATCAGTACTGTTGCTGCTACTGCTATGACTGCCTCTGCCATCACCACCACCAGCTGGTGGTGGTGGTGCTACAGTCATTATCACCATCAGCTCTGCTACAGTATAAGATTAATCCTTCAGATCTCTAAAAATGTACCACACCAGTTGTGAATTCTTTTAATGCGCTCATATAAAACACTATTCATAGCTGAATGATGCCGTGATAAATTCTTGTTTCTGAGTGGCTGTGGCTAATTGTTTGTACGTTATAGTAGCTGTGACAGATTTTTGTACAATTTTCACCCTTGTGTCATGGACTGTCCATATTTGATCTTAATTGTCATGGTTATTAGTGATTCAATTTACTAGTCTTCAGCTGTTATGTAAGAGATCTTTAAGTGTGTTTTTATACTGATATCAGTACCAGATATGTTACTGTGCTAGCTGTCTTACTTAAAGTTTAAAATGCTTGTTAAAGAACAGTGGTTCCTAAACTGTTTTGTGGTTTCTTTGGGACTGTGATAAGTGTTTTGTGTGGATGCAGAGAAATTATCTAATTTTTTATTTATGAACTGCTTATTGTTTAGGGCAAATTCACAAAAGATAATGGGTGATGGTACTCTTGTGTCTTTATTTTGGGAAATTATATATCTTTTGTAACTTGTGTCCAGTTTTGCAGCGGCAAGGATAGAACAGCAAGGACGAAAACCAGGGTACAAGTCACATCACTAATTTACAAAGATGGCCATTATTGTGAAAACTCCTAATACTATTTATTGAGTGTTTCCTTAACATTTAACAGTTTTGTGCCATGTTAGGGCGTGCAGTCAACATCTATCCATTGTCTTTTCTTCTGAATTTAGGACGAAAACCTAAGATACCATTGAACTTTCAACACATGCTGTTCTTTGCAGGTACAGTTGGCTTTTTATGAGTCAAATTTTAAACATAAGTTCCTGTCCCTTGCAGTACCATATTTTTCAAGCATAATAACATGTCCTTCCAGAGTTAGTGTTTTTTCTAAATTATTGATAACCACATGATGAATGAATGAAGTTAGTCTACATAGTGAGGGGTTTCACAGTTCTTACTGTTATCTTAATATTGATAACCACATGATGAATGAATGAAGTTAGTCTACATAGTGAGGGGTTTTCACAGTTCTTAGTGTTATCTTAATAACACTAGCCTGTCTTGCCAATGATTACATCACCCAGGACACCAGGCAGGCTCATACCTAAGACCCTAAAGGATGAATTTCATCATCTCTTGAACATTGCCAAAGCACTGCGGAGGCCAGAGTGCATAGCAGTGAACAGTGGAGAGTCCTGCTCTGTCCATGTTGCCAGCTTGCAGGGAATCTTGCAAGTTGCCACTGTTTAAGTGCATGGTTGGCAACTGCTTGGCCCGTGTGAGCTTATCCAGGGTATCACCAATCCTTGGTAGCAATAAGCAATCCTTCTTGGTAACATTATTCAGCCTTTGATTGTTTGCACAGAAACGAAGGCCTTCATTATTCCTGATGAGCATGATAGGTGAACACCAAGGCCTGTCTGACTTCTTGATTACCCTTCAGTCTTTCATGTTCTTCAGAATTTTGTCCACTTTGACCTGCTTGGCTAGCAGCAATCTCTGAAGGGGCTACTGGACTTTACAGGCATCACTGGTGTTGAGGCAATGGTAAACTATGGATCCATCCATATCTGTCATTATAAATTGTGAAAATATCCTGGAATTCAATAATTAACTCAACCTGGCTTCTTTGGCATTGAGATTTGGCCTGGCACTGGACACCGCTTGCATTTGCTCACAGAGCCTGTGAGTCCCCAGAGTTTGGTGTGGTGAACTGTTGACTGGTGGTGCCCACATGACTGGCTCACAGCAGCCTGGGGTGGTGCCTTCAATCAGTACTTGGCGTTGGTTGCATGCATTCTTGATCCTGACAGGTACTCCTCTTGAACTTGAACCAAGTTCTGGCTGTGTACAGTCTATCTCAGTGGGAACTCATCAAACTTGATTCCCTCAAGCTGTTCACTGCCTCCAGGAGACCCTCCACCTGCACAGTTACGACTCACATCATGCTGGTATCACCGCATCCCTGACCAGTGTAAGGAAGTATGATTGTGGTCATGCCCCAAGACACTGTAATGATACCTCATCTTGTCCCACCCATGGCATGTGTTGCTTCAAATGCATCGCAGGATGTCCAGTCCCAGGATGAACTAGTTTGTGATCTTTGTTATGAACACCCAGATTGATAGTGCACTCTGTGCCAGGGTTGGCTTTACTGCCTTCTCCTTCATGAAGGGAGTGTTTCCCCAGATGCTATCCGCAGAACATACCGCTGACTTGACTTTGTCTCTGGGAATCCTGTGGTGGTGTCATATCTGAAAATGATCATAGATGCCCTGATATCAGTGGTCATAAGGGATGGCTTATCTGATATTCATTCCTTGGCAATTAGACTGTTGTTGCTTCTCTTGATTAGTTTGCTGAGTATGAAGTGAGGGGATGAGGATGATGATGCTTTTTCTCTGCTCTCTCAAGCTGTTTCTTACTTGTTTCCCAAGTCCTTGTCAGGCTCATCATCAAGTCTTTGTCTCATTCTGTCTCATTCTCTTTTGAGACGATATGACATCCCCCACACTGCCAGCATACAAGTTGTTCGGTCCTGGTGTGCTGAGTTGCTGACAACTGTGTTCCTGTGGGAGTTGTAGCCCTTTTATCAGCCCTACTGGCAGTCCATCTGCCACCTTTGCAGCCTCTGGCTTCAAGGCTTGGATGAGGGCTTTGTTGACAGACCTCTTGTCACCTGTATAGAGGTGCAGTCCCACATCCAATTCCTTTACCCAGTTAACAGAAGCATCGCTGCGTCCCTCTGGGTGAAGTCCATGGGTAACCTTACGGTCCATTGGGCTGCTTCACAGCTGCTGCAAGTTCTTGTAGAGATTTGACTGTCACCTGGGCCCTAGCTTTTTGTTTAGACCATTAGGCCACCAGCTCATTGTCACTGTAATAGTGTTTGAGCACCGTGACAGAGTGTTTGTATGCTGCAGAAACTGGACCACTGTGTAGGATGTTGGCAGTTTGCATCTGTGGAATGGGGACTAGATTTATGGCTTTTGCCTGGACTGCCCAGCTTCGGATTGGTTGTGAAATTCTTTACAGGTTCTCAGTCAGGCTTCTGCCACTGCCAACTGCATCTCGAGCTTCTGATGTGTGGCTTCCAGTTTGGATTGAGTTGCCTGCTCATTGTACTGTGTTGCCTGCAGCTCACTATTGAGCCTCTTGTGTAGATTCGAGATCTGCTGTTTAACTATTTCTGTGATGCCCTTCAAGTGTTTGTCTAGTATGACAGTTTTTCTCCTTTTAGATTTGCTCTGGCCAGCCCTGATGGCACCTTGTATCATTTTTGAGTTGTTCTTGGCTGAGCAACAGTTCATCTTGACAGACAGCCAGTCTAACATGGCCAGACCTCATATCCTTTTTTAGTTTTTAATTAGCACTTAATCCTCTTTAAGTTGTTCTTGACTGGCACTTACATTCTTTTTAATGTTTTCTTTCATAGCACTGAATTTATGTAAGTTCTTCAAAATTACGTGCAATTCTGTATTGACCTTCAGTCCCATTTTTGATGCTGTTTGTTCTGATTATTGTGGTATTTAGAGCATTTACTACTATCCCATTTACCATGACCACTTTTTCTCTTATCAGTTCTTTGTTCACCTGTTACTTCACGGCACCCCCACTGATCACAGTACTTCTCTCGCTCACTTCACTCACCTGAGCTGCCCTGCACTGAACTGAAAAATGGAAAACCTTACAACAGACAACTAACTTACTTGCTCGCTACTCATTTTGTAGGCATATCACTTGTAGCAAAAGCTCTAGATTGCTCTCGGGTGGCCTCAGTCTACCTCGCCAGCTCACTGGTTTCTCAGATGCTCCAGATCACATGAGAGGCGCATACAGGCCAAGTGATGCAATCCCGCCAATCTCAGCTCCCACAACAGTGCATTTGAAACTGGAACATCCTATAGGAAATGCTCTCTTAATGTTAAGACTTTATTTGGAGTATTCAGGCTAGTTATGTAACTTTACTATTTAATTGTTCTTTCATGTACAGTGTAGTTTCTGCACTGTATATGTATGCAATGAGTCAGTGGAGTTTAAGGACACATAGGGACTTCTAGAATCTCTCTGTAACAACAGTGACTATAGAATTTTGTGATGGTGATTATTTTGGAATCTTGTGTCTCACAGGTTTGCGTGGTGCCATGTCATTCGCTCTGGCAATTCGCAACACTGTGTCAGATGCAAGACAAGCGATGTTAACAACCACTTCACTGATTGTGATTGTGACTGTGATAGTGCAAGGAGGGGCCACAATGCAGCTTCTCACATGGTTCAAAATACCGTAAGCACAGATCAAAACTTCTCCCACATACCTAGAAACAAAAGTGTGGGGCATTAACCTCTTGCCACCAATATTACTATGACAACTGTGCCAAGATTGGCTAGGTTGTTATCCTGTTTAGTAAGTTTTTTTTTATTTAGTGGTTGGTGTGGCTGAGTCAGCTTGGTACATCAGCCATTAGTGGTTGTATTATACCAGCCCTTGATGATGACAACGATGATGACGATGATGATAGGTGGGTGTGGAGCATTCAGTGGGATGAGAATTGGTGAGGGAAGCCGAAGTACTCAGAGAAAACCTGCCCTGTTGAGACTTCATCTACCACTGGTCCCACATGACGTGACCTGGGATCAAATCTGGCCTGCCATGGTGGGAAGCTAGTGACTAACTACTGGAGGTATGGCCGTGCCATAGCTCAAGCAGTTAGTTGCTGGCTTCCCACCACGGCGACCCGGGTTCGAACCTGGGTCTGGTCAAGTGGGATTTGTGGTGTACAAAGTGGTGCAGTTTCTTCACTTGAAATTGCACTGTCTCTCTTTCGTGAATCAGTGATGTCAGCTGAACAAGAACTGTCATCATCATAAACATGAGGCTTTGTATAGGCAAGATGAAGTATGAATGTATGTTTAACCTAAATATTTAGTCTATGAGCTGATTATTGTTAGTTAAGTTGTAGCTGACCTCGATGAGGTGGAAAATGGGGTTAATGACTGTGACCCATACACAACATTTTAAGCCTTACAGTTCAAGAATCTTGATTTTGCATAAGCATGAATTTAAGTGGAAGAGTCAAGTCAGGCTGATCATAGTGCATAAGCATCACTGTCTATAATACTGATTGTAGTCATGTTTTGTGAAGAGACTGATATGAATTGCTTTTTCAGGGTTGGAGTGGAAGAGGAGGTGGAGATGCTTCCATATGCAGGCGTGAGAAGTGTGAGTATTGTATTGAGAATTGGAGACAGATTAATTGATTGGATCAGGAAGATGGCTGTGTGTACTGGTCTGTGATGTAATGTTTGGTCATGTTATATAGATTGCATATGCATATTAATGCTAGTATAAATGTGATAAATGATTGAAAATATATTAAAATTAAAACATCTGGGAACAACAAATGAAATCTGTAGTGAAAGTAGAAGAATACGGTTAGGAAATAATGTTATTTTTCAGTTTAAAACCCTTTATCACCCCATTTACTTTCCAAAACAACAAACATGAAGATATATGGAACAATAAATTTTCTTTCCTTTCTGACAAACATGAAGATATATGAAACAATAAATTTTCTTTCCTTTTTGTGTGCATGAGAAACATAATCTCTTGTAGTAGCATAAGAGTTTGAAAGTAGCATGCTGAGGAACATGTTTTGATCTAAGAAGAATGAAATAAATTGAAAGTTTTGAATATAATATGCAAAGGAACTTTGTGATTTATACAGGTTATGTGTATTATCATAATGAAATCTAGGAGGCTGTGATAAACTGAACATACAGCTTAGTTGGGGAGATCTGAAATATGTGCAGAATTCTGGTATATGAAATCTCTAGGAAGGTGGCAGTTTGGAAGACCAGAGAGATCAGCAGTTAATATTAAGGTAGCTGTTTGAGAAATACATGTTGAAGATGGGACATAAATAGGATTGGCTGAGGGAACTTGATCTGAGGTAGCATTGAAATAACCACATTTAATACTAATCAATTACATGTTATTCTTATAGGTTTCCCATTGTTTTCCTCTTCTCTCAAGCTAAATAATGGAATAGTTTCTTAACTCAATACATGGTTGTTTCTTCCCATATTCCTCTTTAGTCATTCACTTATCCCCATGCCTTATTCCAGGGTTGATATCTTGTCACCAGAATGCAGGGCAGAGTCAGAACATAAACATAGCTTGTAGATCATTTAAAAATGTGGCACAGTTTAAATATCTGGGAATGACAGTAACAAATCAAAATTGAATTCTTGTAATGCTTGTTATAATTTAGTTCACAACCTTTTGTTGCCTTGTCTTCTATCTAAAAATTAAAATATGTGGAACTATATTTTTGTCTGTAGTTTTGTGTTGGTGTGAAACGTGGCCTTTGACATTAAAGAATAGTGTAGACTGAGGGTGTTTGGGAACAGTGTGCTGAGGAGAATAAGTGGTCTGAAGGGGTATGAAGTAATAGAGGCTGGATAAAACTGCACAGTGAGGAGATTTTGTAACTTGTACCCTTCATCATAATCAGAATACTATCAGAATAGAGGTCATCACTAAAGAAACAAATTATGCATATGGTACCAATATAAAAACACAATTTTCACACATAATTTACATTGGACGGAGTTTAAATTTTCTGACTTCTGCTGCAATAATGGAAGTCCTGATGGGAGAGATGTCCAAGCTGGGTTGACTAATCGGATCTACAGGAAATCTACCCAATGTCCCTGGTAGATTATCCAGTCAATCAACCCAACTTGGACATCTCTGCCATCAGGACTTCCATTATTGCAGCAGAAGTAAAAAAATGTTAACTCTGTCCAGTGTAAATTATGTGTGAAGATTGCGTTTTTATGTTGCTACCACACAGAGAATTTGCCTCTTTGTGATGACTTTCATTCTGATAGTACTCTTGTTTTAACAATAGCCATGAAATAGTGCATGGACATAAGTGCTAGGCCTCAAGTGTCTGGAGTTTTTTAATGGTTGTGTTAACTCTCACAGATGGTTTACACTGTGCTTTTGTTATATATCCTATCTTGTGTTGATGCTGGAGACTGGAGATAGGGACTAGCTGTAATGATTGGGCCCAATTGAATATGTTCCACCTGAAGATGGAGACAGAATCCAGTCTTCGAAACATTGTGTGTTTTAAATAAAAACAGAATGATGGATAATGTTAAAAAACACAGTAATTGTATCAGCATCAGATATTTCCTAGCCATTTTTGTCTTTATTGAAACTGTGTTCCAAACAATTTTGTTGTACATGTTCATATGCAGGAGTACACAAAGTCTTCAAGGTAAGACTGTAGAATGACTTCTCAAGTACCACATAGTAGTGACAAAGTTTCTGGTTCCTTTTGTTAGTAAATACATGTTCAGGTGTTTAAGCAAAGTGACAAGAGCTTGTGCATTCCACAGCAAAGCCCACAGTTATTATAGAAAATAACTGATGTAAGATTAACTCACTTTTAGTATTTTGGAGCTTTTAAAATGTTCAGATAAAAGATGAGACATAGTAAACACAGTATTCTTACCATAAACATAAAGAGTTCTTAATTGAGAGTACTGAACCGTCTGTATGCCTTGCCATGTACATCGCCCAAAACGGCAGAACTAGTAATGATGCAGAACCTCGGAACAACAACTGAGTTATTGTTCATGCATAATTTTACCCAAATTTGCTGTACCATGGTGATGTTTCATTTTATTTGGGGCATACTGTACATGGCATGCTATTGTGCCATCCCCTCCAGCAAACCTTTGGTAAATGATTTACTGCAAGGTTCCAATTCACACAGTTCAGAGGCTGAAAATGCTGATGCCACCCATAGTCCTGTCACAGGTTTTAACTGGCTCCTGTTGAGTTACATTAGTTCTCCACTTCTGTTTAGTGAAGGTCCTGGGATAAGGAACAGTGCATACCTTTGTCCAGCTGTAGACTTCCATTTATCCTTGTGCCTTCTACTCTTTTGTTCCATACAGTCTGTCAGCTGGGTTGACTTTTAAAGGATGACTTATGACAGTACTTTCATAATTGTGGTTCATTCTCTGGCTGTTGATCAGTAGACTCAGCTGCCTTTGTGTTACTCATTTCTGTGGTTTCCATTTCCCTTTCTACTATAACTGGGGTAGGATTGATTGACTTTTTTCCCTCTTAACAAATTATTTATTAGTTTTGTCATTTTTATAACATTTGGACAGTTTTGGAAGAAGATAGAAGTTATTTGCAAATCCTGAACTAGAATAGTTCAGTATTATAATTCTTACAGTGCCATGAATACAACTGTTTAGTATAAATGTGTATAATCTTCCCCACTACACGTGTCAACCCTGTTTCTGGGTCATCTTCCTATGGTGGATGACTTAGGAATAAGTACAAAACATGTAGCTGGCAAGAATAATCACTGTTAATACTAGAAAGTTGTGTTGATGGCATTGTAAGGACTATAGGTATGAAACACAATAGGATGCTGTAGTCAAAAATAGTTCAGCCTGTACAGTGAAATCCAATTTGCTGAATGACCTTGGGTCATGTACTGACAGGGTAAGGGACTTTTCTTTTTTACTTCTTGTATAGTATGACAGATCAGTGTAGTGCAAGGCTTCCTATCAGAATCTTGTTTTCTCAAAAACGGTTCATGTTGCAACAAACTAGGTATGACAAAGTTCTTTTGGAACATTTGTAAATGTGTTATGGAGTCAACAAAATGTGAGGAAGAGTAATGTCTGTATTGTTTAGTAACAACATAATATACAGTAAAATCTGTTGTTTTGCATTGCAACAGTAATTAAATTTCATCAGTAAATGATCATAAGACCAGTAAGGAAATGCAAAGAATAGATCTTGAAGATATGTGTTCCTAGAATTGAAGTACTCGTTTCCACTCTCATTAAACGTGATAAACCTACCTGAGATTATATTTTTCTTGTTTGGCCATTGTTACAGAGTGTAAGGGTGTGAAAGATGGAAAGGCAAATGATATTTCATTATTGCATGACATGTGGTGCATTAGTCTTGTGAAACTTTACGTCATTCACGGTGTGTGTGGAGTCAGTATAAACATGACAGGGCATCAGGCATTGTGACTGATAAATCTAGTTTGTAATGAGCTGACAGTTGTATTAAGGGAGTTGCAAATAACTAATTGGTGCCAGTCACAGCTCTTTACTCATTACTGCTTTAATGATACTACAGTGTTAGAGAAGTTTCCCTGTATGCATACTGTATTTTACTGTTTTCTTACCTACCTATGTCTTAGCAGTAATAAATCCACATAGTACAGTCAATAATTTCATGGATTGGCCACATTGGCGCTGTTATACACTACAGGGGATACGTGAAACCACAAGATGGTGCCATGTCTGTTCTTCTGTTGTCCCAGCAAGAAGCAGTAGTTTACATGTGGTGTATTCAGAAAGAAAGACACTTTTCTGAAGGGTAGTTGTCTGTGAGCGGCGGAAATCAAGAATATTGCAGTTCGAGCAATGGGAAAACATTTTTATTGCTAGTGGGGTGGGACTAAGTCCCTTGTACTGTGGCCACTTCTGGCCTATTGTACCAGCCCCAGATGATAGGCGAGGGTGATTGTGGAGCAATTGGTGGAATGAAGATTGGCAGGGGAAACCAAAGTACTCTGAGAAAACCTGCCCCAGCGCCACTTTGTCCGCCACAAATCCCACTTGACTAGACCCGGGATCGAACCGGGGCCGCCGTTGTGGGAAGCCAGTGACTAACTGCTTGAACTATGGCATGGCCCCAAATGGGAAAACATAAGTTCTGCCAAAAATTAGGAAAATCTGCTACCAAAACATTACAGATGATCAAGCAAGCGCACAGCGAAGAAGCCTTGGGCCATAGTGCTATGTTTAAGTGGCAGAAACGTTTTGCACAGGGGATAGACAGTTTGGAACATGATGAGCATGCCAGTTGACCAAGAACAGTCAGAACTGAACTCAAGATGCAAGAAGTTGCAATGTTGGTGCGTGCCATCTGCTCCCAAACAGTAAATTAAATTGCAGCAGTGATTAAACATGGTACTTGCCTCAGAATTCTGTCTGATGACCTGAACATATCTCATGTTACCCAGCACAGTGTTTCATGCATCCTGACACAAGACCAATGTGACAGTCGCATGAGCATTTGCAGTGACCTGATTGATAGTGCTGGCAAAGATGGGATGTTTCTCAATCGGATCATAACAGAAGATGAAACATGGTGTTTTCTGTACA